GTGATTAGATCTAGAACTATATTCCTTTCTCATGATAACGACTACTTTACTACTCAAAGCGCAATTATGACACTAAGTATAAAGTCACAAGATGACACTTAGGTTCTAAATCTTGTCTGCCGTACAAATTTTATTTTGTTCAGTCCATTTTGACTTTATTTTGTTAATAAATGTTGCGTTAGACAGGATTGTCATAATTTCTGTTCGATCTTGAAGTCTCGAAATCTTGTATTTCAGCCAATACAATTACAGTGCTTTAACAGATGGAACGATATAGGTCCCTACCTCTATAGCTTTTGCCAAAACATGTCAAATTGAATGATTCTGTGATCCAGTCCAATCTGTTCTGGCACAGTTCCAAGGTCTACAATAAAGAGACCGTCGAGACACGACACATATCACCAAACTAACGCTAATGTACTTCACAAGTAGCCATGAAATTGACAAGAGTTTTGTGCACGTCAGAATGGCTGTGGTATAGGATCATCAGTGTATGTTTGCTTCTTGATAAACGTTTCTCTCTGTGTAGCACAGGTATGCAGCTTATTACACAAAAAAACGTAAAACATTTTTGCTGTGATACAAGGGATGATCGTAAACGATGTTAGCGTTCAATAGTATAACTCCAGTAACCAGTTCTGCAACGTTTCAAATCTTTAACTTCGATTACATAAGATGATTGTGCATATGATCCACGTTTAACACGAAGAAGAAATACCTCAGTTGACAGTGCATGAATGATCACGTGATATATTATTCGCATTGATAGCTTGCAAAGAGAAACAATTTGCAGGCATGTCGAATTGCGAGCTTTTTTTGCAGTTTCAGTTCAGGATTGAATTCACTTTTAAGTTTTCTTTTTTGTTTTTATGTCTAGACTTAGATTTAGATGTCGAGATTTAAATCAGACGATCAGGACTTATAATAAGATTGATAAATATTACCGATTTTATAATGTAGGGTCGTCTAAGATTATGGTTAGGATTTAAGTTAAGATACAGGTTTATTATATTAACGTTTGAATTTTTGTTTAGATGCACGCTTAGATTTTAATCTGCACTTGTACGACAGTTGAGATAAAGTTATATAGGTTAAGTGGTTTGCCCCCATTCCCAAAAGAGTATGATTGAACTGGATCTCCACGATTGGATCACCCGAGTACCGTACTCTAATAAGAAACCAACTCATCATACACTCGAGAGTCAAAGACAAATTGGTTGTTCCACTGCCATTATCCCAGATGGAGAATGAGGTTATTATCTCCTGTTAGTACTTTATTGTAATCAAGAGATTCTTATAGTGTCTCTCACTGATTAATTGGGTTGCTCTCTAGTTCTGACTCCCGGCCAACTCATATATAAAAATCAATACTGACAGGGAGGCGAACCAGATTAGTTTTGACACGTGACAGAGATCCAGGCTTTTGACTGGCTAAAACTGAAAGCTTATCGGTTAATCTAGATAGCATCGAGTTATAAAATAAACTGCAGTTCCGGCATAAGTACATAAAACCAATTAACCACTTCTCGGCATCTTTTACAGTAATAATATATATTTAATAATAATAGTATAATATAATGGGCGCCATTAAATAAACACTTTTCGCATAAAAACCCACCTTTTTGTTCCTTTCTCTAACATGCTATTACCATTTTACCAATATCCAGTCATGCAGATTTGCAATTCTAGAATCCATTAGGGCGGTAAAGGACTGTACGAGAAACCAGCTATATATTTGTTGTTAATGTGTCCAAGCGATCCCTAGATTTCTCAGATTACTGCGACAAGTTCAGTGAGCTAATGTTTGCGAACATGCTACTTTCTTTTCCAAAATAAACTCATTTATTGCATTGCTTGATACAAAGAAGATTAAAGAACTCTATTGATAAGCTTAAATCTATTTCGAATCTGCCATTGACGTCAGATCAATACAACGAAAATCAAGCATTATTATTTGTAACAGCCACACTACATCATAGTATGAAACTTATCTTTAATTTCGGCTACCGGACAACTGAACCCAATTTGATAATTTAGACTAACCCTTACCCTAACCAATTAAGCTGATTAGTTAGTGAGAACTAGGTTCAATTGGGTTCAGTTGTCTGATACATCCGCCACAACATCTACCCGGCTACCTACCCCCCTTATCTTACTTCCTGATAAGGGGTGTAAACCCGGGTCACATGACATGACCCCGTTACTACCTCAACATTACGTCATCACCATCACAATTGTTCCCTCCCCCATATATATATTTATATACTCAGTCTCTCTCAGTATGACCTACCACCTCACGTGACCCCCATCAACACCCTTACTAATTACATTCTATAATACACTCACTCTCCCTGCTATATATCATATATCAAGTTACACTCACTTGCTGTGTGTCGTTCGGCTCTATTATTTCGTGCTGTAGTGCTCCGTTCTTTGTGTGTTGTGTAGTGTGGTGGGGCAGCAGCAGCCATCAGGGGGCCGCTGTTCTTTGTTTTACTGTTTAGTTTATCTGTACCCGGGCTTGTTTTGTACTATACCTGGGAGTGAGTTGCTTTGTTAGTTGATATTTTTGCAGTGAGCTTGTGTTTAGTTTTGTTTAAATGTTCGTGCAGAGCTTTTAAAAACATAACAGTGGTGGTGCAGATTTCAAATGAAATGCAGAGTTTTAAGTTTAGTTCTTAAAACAAGGAGAATTAATAAGCAACCGGTGACGACTTGTATATATAGAAACTTACAGTGACTCTTAATGGACGAAATTGTACATGACGATCAACTATCAAGCAATCTGCACTTCTGTTCTTTTAATAACTGATCTATACATACCAGCAACCAGACGTGCTGCTGCCGCTATTGCTTATTGGAGCAAATCGCAATTAACCTTTAAAAGGACATACTGATCGTCTATCATGTTTCATTGAATCGTATTCTCAGAGAGACTATTGAAATGAAATTCTTACGGTTTCATTTCACGAAGCTCTTCTAATATAGTACTGCGTACAATGTTACTTTTTGAACTTGATAAACCGCATCGGGGATGATAATCTGTTAACTTTGGCTTCGACGGTCAACCTTCTTCTCAGAGCGAAACAAGAACCGTAAAAGGTGATATGTTTGTTTGCGTGTAACTTTAGGATTTTAGAGCGGGAACGATCACGTGATTGTGACGCTGCACTAGAACAGTCCTTGTTACATCCGCCGCGCGCACGTGAAATGTTTGTAAGCACCATTCTCTGATCTGGCGATGTCTCTTTGTTTCAAGCCCTTTGGGCGCGGTTTTACTTGACAGTTATCACTTAACGCCATCGCGTTATCCGATTGACATTCTGTGTGTAAGTATCGTTAATTTCGTTTGTTCATTCATTGGTCTTGGTAATTAATTGATACCTATCAAAAGTTCTGTTTTGATTAAACATCTCGATCGTGACCAGCTATTTTCTGTAATGTAAAATGCATTGAGAAGTTCCCTGAAAGCTAAACCATGCATAGTCTTAACTCTTAAGTCTTTCGTAAAAAAATCCCTGAAAAAGGGAATATGAAACCATTGTTCCTTTTCGACTTAATCGATTCGACGTCTCGGTCTTATGCTGCTCATTGCTTTACTCACGGCACTTTATTTTTAGTTGTATTCTTACTTGTTCCTTCTCGATTTTAATTCGATTCATTCTGTGTGAAATTCGATTATTGTGGCTGCAGTTACAGATCGTTCAAGATTTCCGATGAATAGAATTATTCAGCGTATGAGATCCGGTTTTAATTTCTGTGTGCCTTATCCTTATAATTTTGTTTTCATAAGCTAACCTAATCAAGTCCTCGAAGCCTGTGACCCAAGCTCTGCCTGAAAGTACTTCCGGGCGGGAATGTTTGTTGCTGTGATCATGGATGAGCTCTCTCCCTAGAGGCTCTCTTTGTTTGTTGTTCTTGCCCGCGGGTGCTTGCGTGTCTCGTTCGTAACGCGACACCCTCCTCAGTGGCGTATTTCCTTGACATGGTAAATGTTTCAAGCGTTGCCTCTTTTCTCATAGCAACCTTTTCCGGCACCAATGTACACTTTACCCCAAATACAACAATTTTAAAAATCTAGTAGGAGACTAGGACTATTCTTCATAAGTAGTTGCATTTTTGCTATCCTTGCAGTCATTCGATGACATTTACTTCTATTCAGTCTTCTGCAGTTGTTGAAAGTTTCCTTTGAACTAAATAATATTCACATTTTTTCCTGCAGGCGTCTATAGCTTGGCTACTGTGTTCTTCTTTTGTTTTCAGTTCTTGTCCATGAATTTGAATGTATTTGAGAACTGCAAATATAATCAATTGTACTCAAGTATACATTCGAATTTCTATCATTTCAAGTTATCTCTTCACCTCATCACACTTATCGACCACATTATTATCAATACTTAGTGTTGACTCAATGATTTATCTTATTCCATGCGGTTTTTGCGATTACACAATGTTTACATACATTACTCGAATACAAAGTATTCGGTTTAAAGGTGGCAAAATAAACGATATCGTGCCCCACTGCGTTTGGTGGAGTTGAACGAATCCTAGACTTTTCATTTGGGTGCTAAAAATCCCAACTCACTGATACCACATATAGTACATTATTCAATGGTCTCTCGATCCACCGTCCCCTCTCTGTCTCAATTAATTAGCTTTTTGAGCGAGTACTGGTGATCCTCAATCTCATTACATACAGTCTCTCAGACCGCGAGTTATTTTATTGGGACCCTTTTAAACTTGTTCTAGATAACAAACTGTGAGCTGCGTGTTTTTTAACGGCTCCATCATCAGCTTAGTTGTACATACTTTACAATATAGGCACATCACGAATATGAATCAGCATGCAACACGGATTATGCGCTATTTCTTTGAATTTTTCTTCGTTAACATTGTTTCTAAATACACTGTCATTGTACATGTTATACTTATTCAGTATGTTCGGTAGTAATTTGATTTTAAAAACTCACGTTTACTTAAACTAACCTGTGAATTATCATAGCAAAGGAAGGATAAAGAACGCTGAACATCAGCTTCAACCATGCTGATATCGAGCTTAGTTCAGTTCAGCAGGTAAGAAATATTTGTCATACCTTATGTTAATCATATGATTGGCACTTGAATTTCATGAATAATCAAAACTTGTTGATATTTTGACAACCAAAGTATGCTAGTAATAACTTGACAATCTGGAAGTCTATATTAGGTATCTTACTCACCGCACCACTCTATTCCTGTAACCTGATTCATCGAATCAGACAGATCACTCAAAATCACCATCATCTCTAGAACAGTCTACCTTGTTATCTCACAAATCACACAAACATTGACCGTTGACGTCCCAGTTACCATAGTAAAGTTATATAATACCCTGACGTGTCATCATTAATGTAATAATGTACCGTGTAATCATCGTGTGTTAAACAGAGCCTGGGGTGTCATCGCGCGTCACTCAGGAAGTAGACCACAGTGCTCCTACCTTGCTGTTTGGTCTTATATCAGGCTATGATATCATTCCACTTCACTTTACAATCTCATTGAGGTTGTTGGAGCTGGGATTATTTTAGCGTATACTGCACCTAGTTTTAAACTTGGTAACATGCAGGACAAGGTGATAATTTGAAAAGGGATCGAAAGTTGGAGCTCAGTCTTTTATTAGATTTAACACTTAGATCACACCGGTCACTTCAATCACGCTTAATAATGAGATTTGTAATCTCCCCTGTTTCCATTAAGACGTTGCCTAACAACAAATAACTCTTCTAAGGTGATACCCTTTAGAATCCTGTGAATTCTAGACTTGTATTAAAGTCCCGTTAATAATGTACTAACCTGTTATCTCCCTCAGGTTATCTCCTTTTAAGGAGATAACGATAGATGACGGATGGGATCAGCTCAACAGGAGTTTCATGTTCGTCTTGATGGTGATCTGCGGCACTATCGTCACCGTCCGACAGCACACAGGTACCGGGATATTAGGATACCTATTAGTCTAAGTGCTAATTTGGTATATTTGTTGTAGTATTATTAGATCACAGCATTAGTGTATTGAATTGTTTTTATCCTATCGGTTGCCAACACGGCAGAAAAAAATAAACGTAATGTTTTCATGACTTTGGAGTAGTTTACAAAATGGATGATCTCTGGCTTTATCCCTACTTTAAGAATTTAACTCATCCTTATACCTTAACTCTACCTCATACTGCTTTACTCTTCTTTCTAGGCTTCTTACAGCGTGAAACCTTTAACCTGTGCCTCCTTCAGGAAACATAATCTCCTGTAACGGGTTCACCAAGTACGACGGTTCCTTCTCCGAGGATTACTGTTGGACTCAGGGACTCTACACGATTCGCGAGGCCTACCACGTCAGTTCCAAGCACGTGCCTTATCCCGGTGTCGTCCCCGAGGAAATTCCACTCTGTCTAGGTAAGTTGGATTCGAAAAATCGAATACTCGAGAAGTCACAAATTTAAAATCTTTCAATGTATCATCATGCAAGGTGAAACATTGGAACTTGTCTAGTTTCTACATTTGGAATGTTCAGTTTAATCCAATTTTTAGAGCTTGAGAGATATCTGGACAGGTTTTGTGTGTAGGTTGAAATACTGGCGCATGACTTTATAAAGTCTATGACTACTGATTAGATTGTGATAAATCACAATCTAATCAGTAGTCATAGACTTAGAATATCTATCATAATTGTAATCAAGTAAGTTCATATTCATGTGGCGACTGATCTGACAGCTTATATCTGAACGAAAGAGGGGTTGAATGTTTTTTTAGGTTTTTCCGAGGCTAACACAGGTTAAAAAGATTTTACGACGGCTGGAAATTTTTAAATACCCCGGAAATTTAAGGCTTTGATTCACTGCTGTTTAACTGGAAAACATTTTTTGAACTCGTTACAATCTCCTTTTACAACTCCTCTCAACGGAGAGCAATCTAAAACCGTCCATTGCAAGATCAAGGTACAGAATCACGCCGATAGTAAGTAACACTAGCAGGTGCCGGCTTTTAAAACTCAAGGTGGCAGGTCCCTTGTACATTAATATGAGGTGACTTTTTTCAACTCCTCAGCTCACATTCTTTAGCTGTAGAGCAGTCTACATGTTGCATGAACCAAGTTTAAACGTTGTACACGATAAGAAGGGTTTCTGTAATAGAGAACGCTGTCGCATATGGTACGGTTTAACTCTGCTACATTTCACGCTCTGCTTCTAGTTCTGACTTGAAGGCCACGTACAAACTATCTAGTAGGTACCTTACCTTCACGTACTACACAGCAGGTCAATTTTCGGGGTATTTCTATTTTTTTAGAAAGTGCAACATCAAGAAAAAATATGTTGAGCAATATGAATATTCATTTAGAGGTATGCAGTGAACCGCGGTATTTGAAAACATACATGTCAAGTTGGCCTATTATCCGCAGCCTTTGATAGGCTGGTTGCAAAAACTATTTACCGTTTGGAAGAGTATTTATGCTATGCGCTGAATATTTTAATACATGTACAGCGATCTATCATAAGAATTGAAATATTTCCGGGGAGTGCGAAATAATGTGGAGTGTACTGTCGGAGGTTTTGGAGGATTGAATTTTATTTATTCTGCTGAATCGGAGGTTGAGGTAATGTAACATGAACTGTAGTTCAATAATATTCGTTCGTTTTTCTAATTCAGCTATTTTGAGCCTGGCACTTATGAGAAGTGATATACAGGGTGAGTTAAAAATAGTGTGTGGAAAGTAAATGGCTCTAATTTTTTTGACAAATGAAATTTCCACTTAATTTTTGCATATTTAGGTAATGAAAATATATACTTTTTATAATAATACAATTAAAATACTTAATAATTAATAATTTGCTCAACCCATCGTCCTGTATTAGCTAGGACATATTGATAACGTGTAAGACAATTGTCTATAGCCGACTTGACTGTATTATGGGGGCAGGGGGGTCTTCATGGAAATTTTCTCAAAATCGACTTTTTAGTTAGTTGTTTCTGATAGAGGGGAGTAATATTTATCAGATGCTTTTGATGCCGTGGAAAAATATCGTTCCTAGCCGAAATTATTGCCGGTCAAAAGTCAGCGCGTGTGTGGTAATTGTGTTGCGCGAGCGATTTTTGATCGCGTGCCCTGAAAATCGAGTCTAAAAATCTATTTTCTCCTACATTGTTTGAGCAATCACCCTGAAACTTTCAGTATATGTTCTAAGGATCATTTAGAAGAGATGAGCCAGACAGAACTTTGAGATAGGCCTTTAAAAAATTTTTATTCGATTTTGAAAATCTTGGACCTCGTTTTTTGATGATTTTTTGAGGTCCACGATTTTCAAAATCGAATAAAATTTTTTAAAAGGCCTATCTCAAAATTTTGTCTGGCTCATCTCTTTTAAATGATCCCTAGAACATGTCCTGAAAGTTTCAGGGTGATTGCTTAAAAAATGTAGGAGAATATAGATTTTTAGACTCGATTTTCAGGGCACACGATTTGAGAACCCCATTAGGACGAATTTAAGATTTTTTTGGAAAACTGCCAAAAATCAACCAAATTATGAGTTAGAATCAAATGAGAGGCAAGAATGAAATATGTAAAGTTTATGAACTGATAGCAATTCACCTTTCAAAATTTGCTCCTTCAAAAAAAAATTATCGATTTTTACTTTCCACACACTATTTTCAACTCACCCTGTAATAGGAGCTAGATATCAACTAATTAACCAATTACCATAATTAATGTAAGACCTAGTTTTCTCTGTAGATACATTCCACGACTCAGTTGAGGAACATAATGCTGATAATAATGGAAGTGAGTCTTGCATGTGTTTGCGGGTGTGAGGGTGTGCACGTGCAAAAGCTCGTGTGCGCGATATAATAGGAAATATCGGTTGTGTGCGCGATGACATGTGTCTGTGCGCGACTACACGTGTGAGCGAGCAAGTGGGAGTAATCATTTATGGGTTTTTTCCTGGAGATTTCAGTAAAAGCAACGTTTTTGTGTGAAAGCAAGGCTTCATGAAACAATGGAATGAAACTTCTTTTATCTTTTTAAGTACTTCCCACGTACCTGCTTTATCTTCGTGTTTCCAACATCATATACAATTTACTTTATGTTTAAATACAATTCGTACATCATAATTCCACTTTGAAGGTGTCTTAGTGATGATATGTTGAGTACCTATTCCCAATCACGACCATTTCGACTAGGTGAAACGTAGTATTCTGCTTATTCTGCATTCTCGTGGCATTCTCGTGGCTCCTCAGATCTTGACGAAGTTTATTCGTCAGAGAAAATAATAACGATTATAATAGTAATGTATTTGCATCATGATTCATGAAGCGAGGAATTTTCGAGAACACTTGACCAAATTGGTTCTTAACACGTCTTTAAAAACTCTTTATACATTTATTCTAGGATACTCTGCCCCTCACCTTTCAAACATATACATTATACATTATACATGTTTACAATTTACACGCGTGTGATGTGTTGAATAGTGTAATGATACTCTCACTATACCGCTTACTAAATGTAATGTGATATTTATAATGGTACTCCTGTGTATCCAATCAAACGAGGCAATAATATTATGTATCAGTTAGTCTATTTAGGTCTTGATGATGACGAAAATAGCATAAGTAAATCAACAGGACAGGTGCCAAATCATTTTAGTATTGTAAGAGCTGCTTTTAGTTCAGCATATTATTATGTTATTGAATATATTTAGCATTTTTGACGTTGCGATGTATTTAACACCATTGATTTTGGCACTGTTACGTTGGTTTACGATAACAAAATATAACAAGAAATTTATGCAAGTGAGGAGATGTTTAGAACTTTCACTTTCAACTTTCGTCTTTCGTACTCAACAATCAAATTATAGATGTACCACTACCATCCTTATTATTTGTAAAATCCAAAACCAAAATTACTCAAACAAATTGTGTTACAATTTCCGGATATTTTCTAAACATTGTACCCTGCAGGAGAGAACTGTGACCAGCTGGGACCAGGCGCTCAAACAACCCGTGTCTACCACTTGTGGTACCAGTGGATTCCTTTCTACTTCTGGCTCGCTTCCGCCGCTTTCTTCCTCCCTTATCTCATCTACAAGGTTTTTATACTTTGTTTTATTATTGAACTTTATTTATGAAGTTATTTGCTAATTTCTCTCTTTTAAAATGTGGCACTTGCCAAAAAGCCTGTCATCTACAAAGTTTACACCTGAGCTGTCTAGAGCGTCTCCTAAACAATATACACGTCGACGAAATAGTTTTCTAACTCTTATTGTAATAATTTGTGAACTTACAACTGTCATTAGGAGAAGCCTTGGAACTTGTAAAAAACTAGACATAAAAGACAAAACGAAGGTCTAACTCTACGAAAAGTTAGTGCGGTACACGCTATAATATCTCACCTCACCATATATCTCATCTCACTCTTCAGAGGTACGGGTTCGGTGATATCAAGCCTTTAATCCACATGTTATACAACCCCCTGGACGGTGACGAAGGTGTCAAGGCTGACTCTGAGAAGGCCTCTATCTGGATATACCACCGTTTCTCTATCTACATGAACGAACACTCCATGTACGCTAACTTTATGGAAAGACACGGAATCGGCATACTCGTTATTGGTTTGTACTCTTTAATTTATCCTCTTATATCAAACAGGCTTCTTCTCCTTCTGCATTGTGAATTGTAACATTCCCCAGCTCTCAGTTCTACGTTTTCATTGGTAAGTTCTTCTTACTGCCTCTGTTAACCTAACTCTCTCCCTCTCTCTCTCCAGGCATCAAAGTGGCTTACCTGATTATCTCTGTCCTGCTTATGGTGATGACCGCTATGATGTTCGAGTTGGGTGATTTTAAACAGTACGGAATTGTGTGGGCCCAACAATGGCCTAATCCTCCAGCCAACGTTACTGGTATGTTAACTTTTAAATTGGTATATTTATTCAATTCTCCAGTTTTTATCTCAATAAATTAGTCTTTTTTAAAAGTTCAACTTTTACTATTTGTTAAGAACTTGGCCACATGAGGTCGTGTGCAATGATGCTTAGGCTTCAAAGTGCGACTTAACAAATACCGCGCCGTTTAACGAAACCCTATACACACTTTTCAACCGAACTGAATTCTTAACCTTGGCACGATTCCCAATCATAGGACTATAACTTTAAGTAATCAGTATGAAGTATGGGTAAATAATTTGATCATTATCAAATATACCTTCTCAAATTTCCACAACAAAAATCAACAAACTCGCTAGGCTGCAACTTAACGTTTTTACAAATAGATCGGTAACCTGAACTGGGTAGATTGTCTTAAACATGATTACGCCTCTTCCACGACCTCTTCCACAACCAGCTTTCAACTAAATAGTTAATTATCTTAACCTTCAGGAATCAAGGATCTCCTTTTCCCCAAGATGGTGGCTTGTGAGATTAAGAGATGGGGCCCCACTGGTCTCGAGGACGAGAATGGCATGTGTGTCTTGGCTCCCAACGTCATCAACCAGTACATCTTCCTCATCTTATGGTGGTCTCTTGGTGAGTTGGCTTCATTTCTTATCCATCATTAAAACTAAGATAAGAAGTGCGTACCAAGCCTATCAGAGGAGAAATTTGTACACGTAATAACGCGCGTTGTTTAAAGTTCTAGAATTGGTAGTTCAAGAGTTTTGGATTCGCGCTGAAATATTCTAGAACGCTTTGGAAGAGTATTTACTCTTAAGAGCTATATGGCTCGCTGCCGTAGTATGAAGTTATTCTCAAATAATAGTCTCAAATAGACAAATCTTAGCTGGCTTCTAAGAATGATGTTAGTTTTAACACGACCATACTCCGGCTCAAAATATAATTTTTTCATAAAAGTTAAAAGAAAAAGTCCTTTACGTTTCGACTCACACTCTTTCCGCTCAGTGTTCACTATCGTCTCTAACGTCTTCAACGTGTTGGCTGGAGTTATCCGAGTTGTCTTCATCTACGGTTCATACCGTCGTATGTTGGCCAGTGCTTTCCTCAGAGACGATCCTCATGTAAGTCTTATCACATTTAGGATCTATTTATTATTTTATTGAATTAAAGTAAATTTTAGATTGATTTCGTGCTCCACATGACTAATTGAAAGCCGGGCGGTGCCAGGCAGATCTTGACGGTGCCAGGCATCTTGGAGTCGTGGAGTCTTGATGAGCATTTAAAGTATTTCCTAATTTAAGTACTAGAGACGTCATCCCTTCATCAAAATACTCAAGTTTAAAATTAATCTCTAATTTAAATTAACTTTTTTCTGGCGAAAATTCTAACACCAGAATTTTGTTTCTATCTGAAATTGTCACATGATACTGACCCAACTACCCTTTCTCCAGTATAAGAAGGTATACTACAAGGTAGGATCCTCCGGTCGGACCATCTTGAACGTCCTGGCTGCCTCCATTTCTCCCACATGCTTCCAGGAGATCATGAACAACGTGTGTCCGCGTCTCATCCGTGCTCACGTGTCCAAGAAGGGCAGGAACCTAGGCGATGACCCCCTCCTGTAGTAAGGACTCTCTCAGGTAGAAATAAGCTCCTTCATCAGGATGCTCAATGTGTGACGTCATAATGACGCCATTTATGTATCAGAGGTTTGTTTGGGCTGGCGTGTAGGCAACGTCCGCACCTCGTCGAGTGGGCCGCATTTTACAAAACTCAGAATCAGATTTACGTAGCTAAGTCGGGTGGGCCGTAAGTCCACCCGATTCGCCAGAATTAGGAACCGAGAACGGATGTGGGATTGAGGCTACCAGTCCTGGGGAATTTTTGTGAACAATTTGGATAGGATCAGACCTCTAATTAATGTAGAATCACTGTTTATAGGGGCCTTGGGAGACTAAAACTCATAACTTGTACTTGTAGACAGAGACTAAATCTTGAAACTTGATCTGGAATCGACAAAACTTACGACTTGAAAATCAAGCAATTATTTTACAATAAAAACTCCTCATTGCCGTTTTATGACTTGACAGTAATTCAGTACTCTAAATTGGTTGATATTGTTGTTCGTCGGGTGGCTGTGCTCGTTACAGCACGGCCGTGCACACTTCTGAACGAATGGCGATATTTACAACCCTGACCAACAATTAATGATATTTTAACTTGGGGACGCGAATAACGTGTAAGTTTTGTATTTTGACTGTGTGAAATCAACGTGTCGGGTAATACTGTGGCAACCCTATTTGGTTGGTTAATTAGTTAATCGGTTAATTAATTAATTAATCAATTAGTGAACTGTCCAGTGGTGGACCAGACCGAAAGTATAGAAATACAATGATTTTTTAAATCTATGAATTTTTGATCTGTTGATCGGTATCAATATTGACGGATTTTGTGTAGAATTTTTGGCTCATCACTCTAAATACTTACCTTGTACTCAAAGCATGGAACAATAATGATCATTTAGAAGTAAATTCGGGCATATTGATAAACCTTAATTGCAAACGTTTTCGATCGAAAAATTTTTAACGATATTTTTTACTTATTTTTAGACTACCGATTGTTAGTTGATGAGATTTTTTGCGCCCTTTCTTTCCGTTTTAAAATAAAATCAGATAGTATGCTATGGAAAATGTAATTGCTGTTATGCGTTGAATAACTTTTAGGGATCTAGTGCTTTTTATTAAGCTGGTGTCCCCAAAAATTGCTTTTCAAACAAACATGAACAGTTAGTATTTATTTTCCAATATCAATATTGATAACATCTTAACTTACAAAAGTTATTTTAGAAATATGAAGATCAGCCAGTTTTAAAGATTATCTTGTACCTAATAATATAAGTAAACTCGAAAGAGACGCCAGATTTAATCCGTTATATATTATAATTTCTATTGAATGCCTTGTCCCTTCACTGTTTCAAATATTTAGATATTTTAATTATCCTGAGAGTTGATAAAAGTTTGAATATTAAAATTTTCCCCGACAACTTTTTGAATGAAAGAACCAACTTTTCAAATGTTACGAAATATTGTCACTGCTATACCTGTAACGAAGCTGCCGAGCCCTCATAAAAAGTATTCTAAAAGTTTAACAACTCTCTGGAATATCCCGTCTTAATATCTGGATATTCTGTCCAGACCTGTATCTGATAATTTAGGATTGATATCCCTGATACAATTTACTGCCTGACACTGTTTTTTGTTAACGTGTTTTAAACAGCTAGGATACTAACCCATATCTTCTGTTCACAGGTCATGTCCTATGTATAGTGTCGCTGAGTTGCGCGCACACGTGAGTAACACTCTGTTTGCGAGGAGGTTTTCCTCTTCTACAATTTAATTTTCTTATCTAATTACATCCAATTAAGCGTGTAATTTTATAGAATTCTTTTTCTCTGTATTAGGTTTTATTAAATTTGTTAAAAGTTTCTTTTTTATCACATTTTAAATGGTTATAATTGTTGTACAATGTACTTGTACTATCATTGTTGGAGATATATTTGAGGTCCAATTAAATAACCAATGACCCTGCAATGCCACCGTTCAAATTTAATCACCAAGTTGTGTACCGCACGTTTTTACGAACCTTTTCATCGCTTTTAACGCACATGACCGCGCCTCAAAGCGATAATCTTGTCAACAATAAGCGCCCGGTCATGGGACTTATTGGTACCGGAATCTAACGCCGATTACACAATACACATTCTTCTTTTTACCCACGCGCTCAAAAGTTAATTATCCATAATACTAAATTATGAAATCGCATTGGATACGATAAAGATTTGATTTGCTTTCGTGTCATTTGTTAATAAGAATATTGGTATACTCTTACTTGACGCTGATGGGTGTCGCAACAAGGTACAACTGAGCAGCCAGCAGAACTCTCTTCAAGAAATTTATCCACAGCAATACTGCGACGGAGAAATTTTCCGGTTTTACTAAGTAAAGAACCCCTTGTTATTAAGAGTTTGGAGCTAAGTGGGGCCTATATTTAGTGTTGAATAGTAAACAATACTAGAGCTGAGCTGGCACAGAGCCAAACCCTCAGGGTCACCCCACAATACCACATACTAATAGTCATGTATAACAACCTTAAATACATACCATACATACCAACTTGAACCATACACTTCTCTCCCATACAAAGTAGAAACTTCACGCTGGCTATATTGTATCATGGGCAAAAATAGAGCCAAGTAAATGTTCATTAGAGATACGTAGTGGCTAGTGACGCAGAAATTGAAGCCTTGCTAGAAGTGTTTCAGAGGAGTTGTACACCTTACACGCTTGAAGCAAATCACAACTAGTCAAGGTCATATGATAGATATTATCACTTAGATTCTATCCAGTAATCGCCGCATCAGAACTGCAACTTCTGTTATATATATTATGACATTAATATTGTTCGTCAAATAGCGGACTGATGACCCGATTGTTCAAATGTAAGATTAACCGCAAGATAGTTTCTCGTTTTAGAGCTCAATAATTATGTAAATACTACACGTTTTTATTCACAGATGACTGCCACTGATTCATCAACTCCGTCAGCCTTATAATTTAGTTTCACTGTCAGAATTAGAAGAATTTTAAGTATTTTGCTGATAAAAAAGTCGAAAAACGACTTGAATTACCATCTCTCTCCCTCCTGACACCCGATTCGTTTTTCCACAAGTCCAGAACTCCCTCCTACCGGCATCAGGTACTTAGTATCAATACCTCCTTATAGAGCCAGCCCCTAACGCTCACAGTACAATTATAATCCATCATCTCCTTTATAAGTGTTTGATAGTTTTGGCCATCGTACAATAACGATCGTATCATTGGCACTGTGCCAACAAATTATTCCATTGTAGAGTATCATCAGTATCAGCTGGTCATTTTCCCTCCATTAAGTGTGGTCGGTCTAATTCAGCTGGCACGGATTAAACTACCATCATTTGATAGATCGATCTGGTAATATAGGTGATGTGTCGTAAGATAGAAGAAAAGGGATAGACACAAGACGAAGACTATACCTAGAAACCCACGTGTTTATCGTCATTAGAAACGCCCTGCTCATGATGCAATAACAATAATCCTCTCCTCAAGGACTCGACAATTCCATTTTCGTAGTATTCTCCATCAAAACACTTCTCAGATAGGGGGTCACTACAAACCCTGAACGGAAGATTATCCCTTAAATGGTATAATCTATTTAAGAGGCCTGGTACTCGCTCGCTCCCATTTACTACAAGAAATGGCTTGTGATTACAGCAGCTAACAGCAAATCAAGGTGGTATTGTTCCTTCACACTTGTCTTTATATATACAACACAGCGGGAACACCATCAGAAGTGTCATGTGAGATGTTTAACTTCCCATTATATGATTTATCGAGACTTGAATATGATAATGTTATAACACTAAACCAGGGCTAGGGGAATCATGCCTAATATGGTATAATCAAGCTCCTTATATGGGATAATAACCCTGGTTACCACGTACACTGAAATCCTAATACAAGTAAAGGGCTGCATTTGCACAATCTTTCCTATGACGTTATTGTATCTTCCTGGAAGATTTGCTTTGGTAATCTTGGTGTCGATTAGTCCAATCCTCTCCTCTAACAAGGCCATATTTAATCTTAAATGTCTGACATCTTGCCAGAATCACGCAATGCAGGGTATGGCACGAGCTTATTAAATCACCACGCATTATACCGTGAACCGGTGCACGTTCGTACCTTTGTGTCAAACTACCGCATAATAATCGCAAGCTAACACGTGCTTTCTAATCCAGCTTATAATTGTCTCCGGTTTGGCTTAGACTACAGCTGTCGGTGGTATTATGATGACCGTGTTGGTGGTTGACAGAGCAGTTGTTGTACCGTTCCTGCGTTCTGCACTTTAAATCGCAACTTTTGCTCTTTTTTTGTATGTGGGACCGTTTCAGCTACCTTTGTTGAATGTAGAATACGAGAGCTGAGAGAGCGTATGATTAAAGAGTTGGACTCTATGCAGATAAGCTCTTGCTTCTCTCCATCTGCTTCCATTCTGGGGTATTCTAGTTAATTCGCTATTGACGTTGCCAACCTCGAGCTTGATCTTGTCATAATACACATTTAACGGCCCGTTCAAACCCTCTAATTTCCCCAGAAGGTTGTGTCTGTGACGGACAGATCCCCCTTCTCCAGTTCTTATATCCGAGGACGTAACATCCCGAGGAATGATCTAATACCTGAAATTGCTGCTGCGCTGCAATTTGGAAGAGTGGTTTCATTTGGCGAGTACAGATGACAGCATCACTTACTCATTAGCCAGCTACTAGAAGCTTCTTTGCCAGTGTTATAGGCGTAGATACTGTTGTTGGCCAGCATTGAACTGTTAGTAGATTGTACATAACATTGTATTATTGATTGGCCGTAGAATCGCTTTGACCTACAGCACACATACATAGTACATACGATCAGCATTATGTGCTTCATTATATATTATAATGATAATTGTATTTGCAGAGGAAACCAGGCCTGACCGTTTTGGCATCCGACACTTGGTTCTCTAGAAACCAGGTAGCAGCAACGTCACAAATACAAGAACACAAATCACCGGGTTAGTGTTTCAACCCGCGGAGTTACCGCTGGTTTAACAACATCTAACGTCATGATGCCCATGATGATTGGTCTTTGTGTGTTAGTCGTGGAGTTAGGAACCTCCTGAACCCTAGCACGGGAATGTTGTTATAGTAACCAGATCCTCTGTGCCCGGTGAGTTGTTGTTATAGTAAACCGCACATCATAACACGCTATCACCGTGTTTTGGATGGGTTTTCTTGGCGTCTGATAAGCGGCTGGTGGTTGTCTGTTTTTGTGTTGACTTGTATCCCTGCTTAGCGTTTCAATGACATGTGCAAGTTGCTATGATAAGATGAACTGTATAAATAGTCAGCTTAGCTATTCATTAGAGATCGATTTGGTTTCAGATGTTGTTCATTGATTAAGATCTGCGTTTGAAGATGTTGTTCACAAGTTGTTAAACAATTTGTAAAGGTTAACATTTTGCGTACCAGTCCTGTTCATTAGTGATCGAGATACTTTCAGATGTTGTTCACACGAGGATAACTTGTTCACCCTCAGACTCAGCACTCACCCTCAAACTAAGTTGATGTGTAACAACTGATTATTGTCTGTTTCTCTCCCACACCTGACCATCATCATTAGTCATTGAGAGATCTGCTTTCTGGCGATGTTCATTGTTCATTAACCAATTAAACAGTTCATACTTCATATATCAGTTAACATATGTGATCCCACCCCCACCCTTAGTGGAGGTGTAACAACTGAGATTTTACTGCCTGTTTCTCCCCAGATGATTATCATGATCAGTGCACAGATCCGCTAATTAAGTTTTTATGTCGTATATGGCTGCTCAACGTGGCGGTGTTATCTTAGATACGAGTGTTAACTAGGTTTCATGTAGTGTATTTTGGGATGATCTGAGAGAGTTATCTGGGTTGTACCTCAGCGTGTCTAGTCGATGGTGTTCTGGTTGGGAAGATAATCCCACGCGTTGCAGTGATACAATCATTGTCTTAGCCACACGGGGATATCACACCAGATGTTTCCTGTTCTTTAGTTTTACCTTCCATGAGTCTCCATCTTGTGTGAATCCTTCATAATATCACGTCTGGCAGTCTGGTATTTATTTACCTTATCCTGAGCCACCTCCTTTTGTATCTGTTGACGCTGTGGTGGGAAGAAAAGTAGCCAAAAATAATCTGGCTTTTCTTTAGAAAACCATTGTAGAATGATTGCTTTAACTACTGAACAATAATCAATTGAATCCATTTGTCAGGCGTTGGCATCTCATTCACTCCATTGAAAGCAGATGCAAAATTATTCGATTGTGAAACTTTGCGGCTATTCTTGTCTTATTAAAATTAGCATTTGGTTCCCCTTCTGTGCTGTTACAAAAGAGTGATAAGTCCATTTTTGATAATAACACGTGGTCCTCCGTATCGTCTTTTGGTACGACAACAAGTGCTGCAATCTCTCTACTTGCCTCCTTTAGTGTCTTGTTCCTACAACAAGTGCTGCAATCTCTCTACTTGCCTCCTTTAGTGTCTTGTTCCTACAACAAGTGCTGCAATCTCTCTACTTGCCTCCTTTAGTGTCTTGTTCCTACAACAAGTGCTGCAATCTCTCTACTTGCCTCCTTTAGTGTCTTGTTCCTACAACAAGTGCTGCAATCTCTCTACTTGCCTCCTTTAGTGTCTTGTTCCTACAACAAGTGCTGCAATCTCTCTACTTGCCTCCTTTAGTGTCTTGTTCCTACAACAAGTGCTGCAATCTCTCTACTTGCCTCCTTTAGTGTCTTGTTCCTACAACAAGTGCTGCAATCTCTCTAGTTGCCTCCTTTAGTGTCTTGTTCCTACAACAAGTGCTGCAATCTCTCTACTTGCCTCCTTAAGTGTCTTGTTCCTACAACAAGTGCTGCAATCTCTCTACTTGCCTCCTTTGGTGTCTTGTTCCTACAACAAGTGCTGCAATCTCTCTACTTGCCTCCTTTGGTGTCTTGTTCCTACAACAAGTGCTGCAATCTCTCTACTTGCCTCCTTTAGTGTCTTGTTCCTACAACAAGTGCTGCAATCTCTCTACTTGCCTCCTTTAGTGTCTTGTTCCTACAACAAGTGCTGCAATCTCTCTAGTTGCCTCCTTTAGTGTCTTGTTCCTACAACAAGTGCTGCAATCTCTCTACTTGCCTCCTTTAGTGTCTTGTTCCTACAACAAGTGCTGCAATCTCTCTACTTGCCTCCTTTAGTGTCTTGTTCCTACAACAAGTGTTGCAATCTCTCTACTTGCCTCCTTAAGTGTCTTGTTCCTACAACAAGTGCTGCAATCTCTCTACTTGCCTCCTTTGGTGTCTTGTTCCTACAACAAGTGCTGCAATCTCTCTACTTGCCTCCTTTGGTGTCTTGTTCCTACAACAAGTGCTGCAATCTCTCTACTTGCCTCCTTTAGTGTCTTGTTCCTACAACAAGTGCTGCAATCTCTCTACTTGCCTCCTTTAGTGTCTTGTTCCTACAACAAGTGCTGCAATCTCTCTACTTGCCTCCTTTAGTGTCTTGTTCCTACAACAAGTGCTGCAATCTCTCTACTTGCCTCCTTTGGTGTCTTGTTCCTACAACAAGTGCTGCAATCTCTCTACTTGCCTCCTTTAGTGTCTTGTTCCTACAACAAGTGCTGCAATCTCTCTACTTGCCTCCTTTAGTGTCTTGTTCCTACAACAAGTGCTGCAATCTCTCTACTTGCCTCCTTTAGTGTCTTGTTCCTACAACAAGTGCTGCAATCTCTCTACTTGCCTCCTTTAGTGTCTTGTTCCTACAACAAGTGCTGCAATCTCTCTACTTGCCTCCTTTAGTGTCTTGTTCCTACAACAAGTGCTGCAATCTCTCTACTTGCCTCCTTTAGTGTCTTGTTCCTACAACAAGTGCTGCAATCTCTCTAGTTGCCTCCTTTAGTGTCTTGTTCCTACAACAAGTGCTGCAATCTCTCTACTTGCCTCCTTTAGTGTCTTGTTCCTACAACAAGTGCTGCAATCTCTCTACTTGCCTCCTTTAGTGTCTTGTTCCTACAACAAGTGCTGCAATCTCTCTACTTGCCTCCTTTAGTGTCTTGTTCCTACAACAAGTGCTGCAATCTCTCTACTTGCCTCCTTTAGTGTCTTGTTCCTACAACAAGTGCTGCAATCTCTCTACTTGCCTCCTTTGGTGTCTTGTTCCTACAACAAGTGCTGCAATCTCTCTACTTGCCTCCTTTAGTGTCTTGTTCCTACAACAAGTGCTGCAATCTCTCTACTTGCCTCCTTTAGTGTCTTGTTCCTACAACAAGTGCTGCAATCTTTCTACTTGCCTCCTTTAGTGTCTTGTTCCTACAACAAGTGCTGCAATCTCTCTACTTGCCTCCTTTGGTGTCTTGTTCCTACAACAAGTGCTGCAATCTCTCTACTTGCCTCCTTTGGTGTCTTGTTCCTACAACAAGTGCTGCAATCTCTCTACTTGCCTCCTTTAGTGTCTTGTTCCTACAACAAGTGCTGCAATCTCTCTACTTGCCTCCTTTAGTGTCTTGTTCCTACAACAAGTGCTGCAATCTCTCTACTTGCCTCCTTTAGTGTCTTGTTCCTACAACAAGTGCTGCAATCTCTCTACTTGCCTCCTTTGGTGTCTTGTTCCTACAACAAGTGCTGCAATCTCTCTACTTGCCTCCTTTAGTGTCTTGTTCCTACAACAAGTGCTGCAATCTCTCTACTTGCCTCCTTTAGTGTCTTGTTCCTACAACAAGTGCTGCAATCTCTCTACTTGCCTCCTTTAGTGTCTTGTTCCTACAACAAGTGCTGCAATCTCTCTACTTGCCTCCTTTAGTGTCTTGTTCCTACAACAAGTGCTGCAATCTCTCTACTTGCCTCCTTTAGTGTCTTGTTCCTACAACAAGTGCTGCAATCTCTCTACTTGCCTCCTTTAGTGTCTTGTTCCTACAACAAGTGCTGCAATCTCTCTAGTTGCCTCCTTTAGTGTCTTGTTCCTACAACAAGTGCTGCAATCTCTCTACTTGCCTCCTTTAGTGTCTTGTTCCTACAACAAGTGCTGCAATCTCTCTACTTGCCTCCTTTAGTGTCTTGTTCCTACAACAAGTGCTGCAATCTCTCTACTTGCCTCCTTTAGTGTCTTGTTCCTACAACAAGTGCTGCAATCTCTCTACTTGCCTCCTTTGGTGTCTTGTTCCTACAACAAGTGTTGCAATCTCTCTACTTGCCTCCTTAAGTGTCTTGTTCCTACAACAAGTGCTGCAATCTCTCTACTTGCCTCCTTTGGTGTCTTGTTCCTACAACAAGTGCTGCAATCTCTCTACTTGCCTCCTTAAGTGTCTTGTTCCTACAACAAGTGCTGCAATCTCTCTACTTGCCTCCTTTGGTGTCTTGTTCCTACAACAAGTGCTGCAATCTCTCTACTTGCCTCCTTTGGTGTCTTGTTCCTACAACAAGTGCTGCAATCTCTCTACTTGCCTCCTTTAGTGTCTTGTTCCTACAACAAGTGCTGCAATCTCTCTACTTGCCTCCTTTAGTGTCTTGTTCCTACAACAAGTGCTGCAATCTCTCTACTTGCCTCCTTTAGTGTCTTGTTCCTACAACAAGTGCTGCAATCTCTCTACTTGCCTCCTTTGGTGTCTTGTTCCTACAACAAGTGCTGCAATCTCTCTACTTGCCTCCTTTAGTGTCTTGTTCCTACAACAAGTGCTGCAATCTCTCTACTTGCCTCCTTTAGTGTCTTGTTCCTACAACAAGTGCTGCAATCTTTCTACTTGCCTCCTTTAGTGTCTTGTTCCTACAACCCATGATATATTCCACTTTCTATAATGATAGTAACGGGATTGACAGACTTACCGGCAACCACTGACGTACGTTGTGTCAGTGATTTAGTTTTTAGTCTCACGGTCGTCTCAGCAACGCACCAGGAAATAACCCCTATTATATCCTAATTTCACATCTATTACTTTGAACGATTGTAAAGCAGTGCTTTGTGACAAGATGAATGGTTAGATTAGTGTCCTAAATATTATCTGTCTAGGACGTTCCTTCTCACCGAGTTAGCACAAAGCATTGTCTGTTCAACATGTAGCCGAACAATCACCATCATCCTGGTCATGTTCGGACAACTTTGTACTACAAATGATTGCATAATATTATCAACCATCTTTAACGACAGCCCGCCTCGTGATATTAATTAATGACATGCTTTGCAATCATTATATGTGTTGCTTCACAATGGGTTGATTATAATGTGGAATATGTCTGATCAGTCGGCCATCCTGGCTGCTGATTTTGGTCTTTAGTCTGTTGCAGCAGTCGTCCGCATATTATGTGGTTCGTGTCTTTTTTGTTTGTCTGTGTTGGAGTTGACTGATTTCGAAATTTGCTTTAGATTAAATCAAATTAAAGTTTAATAACTCTGTAAATCTTAGATGAACAACATGGAAGAAATTGTGTGTTACCAAGGTTTGATGTGCTAGTTTGAGTTGGAGTTATGGTATCCAACAGCAGTCAATTGTTCTTGCGACGAAGGAACTTAACAACATACCTACTAATCTATTAACTTGCCACAAGCCCTTTAGACTTTCTAAGTCGTCCATCCCAAGGAACACCCTATCTTGATCCAATAAGAAGAAAACATGGTGTTGGATCTGATATCGGGAAACTTCAAGAACTTGCTACAGATAAAGTCAGTTAGTATAGATGACCAGTGGGACCAGCTTAACAGGACGTATCTTGTCATGTTCTGCATTTTATCCGGCACTATAATGACCTTTAAACAGGTGAGAAAATACTTTATTTTCTAAACGAAGCAATAAAATTCTCATTTGCCAGCAGATTCGCTTCCTTTTTGCCTGATTATTCCTTTTATAGTCTTCAACCAACCAATCGCCCCTCAGAATTTAGGGTCGATAATACACTGTATAGGGGATTCACGGAGTGGTGAAGGAAGTTTTGCGGAAGTCCACGACACTTTTGTACAAGATTACTGTGCAGCTCAAGGACTGTACACCGTGAAAGAAGTTTATAAAAAGTCTTGGCCCGATGAAGTGCCTTATCCAGGTAAGAATCGCTAATAGTTCCACGTTATAAACATCTGTCTAATAGTTCCACGTTATAAACATCTGTCTAATAGTTCCACGTTATAAACATCTGTCTAATAGTTCCACGTTATAAACATCTGTCTCGCTAATAGCTCCACGTTATAAACATCTGTCTAATAGTTTCACGTTATAAACATCTGTCTCTTTAGTTCCACGTTATAAACATCTGTCTCGCTAATAGCTCCACGTTATAAACATCTGTCTCTTTAGTTCCACGTTATAAACATCTGTCTCTTTAGTTCCACGTTATAAACATCTGTCTCTTTAGTTCCACGTTATAAACATTTGTCTCGACTTTTCTTCGCACGGTTCAACGTACCCTAGTTCACATTCGGACGATCTCTTGAATTGTTTGCCCTTAGGTGTCCTTCCATTGACTACCTCGATCTGCAAAGGCAGAGTCTTCTGGAATGGATCCAGCATACCATGCCGCGATGAAAAAGATTTAAAGCCCGTCACGGAGGTGTACCACGTATGGTATATGTTCGTGCCTTTTTACTTTTGTGCCGTTGGAATAGCATTCTACTTCCCCTACACAGTTTTCAGACACCTCAGTGGCATCTATGACATCAAGCCAATGTTGAACACCCTCACATGTAACATTGAGGTTAGTGTAATCATGTTTACTTCATATTGGTAGACTGGAGAGGCTGGTCACACAATTTCCCTTTTTAAAATATACCTATTCTTCAAGTAAGACAATATTGTACAAAGTGCAATGTACATTTATCTACATTTTCTGAGTTACTGTACAATTACATCTGGAAGTTAGATTAATATTTCGCTTTCAAAATTTAGCCCTACACGGAAGACGATCTCTCTCGGAAAGTAGACAATGTATCCAGATGGTTGTACATCAAACTAGACCCTTACATGAACAACATGCTCCCATACACCCAGATTATTCACAAACACTCTATATTTTATACCGGTACGTATTTAATTTAAACTGTAAATACAATATTATTGTACTAAGTAATTGTAAGTGTAAATACGGATCATCTTATCTTTTGGTTTAACCTCACAGAATTATAAAGATCCCCATTTTTCTTCAGTAATGTTAGTAAAGGTTATGTACTTGACTACCAGCATCTCCGTGTTTTATGCTACCAACAAAATATTCGAGCAAGGAAATTTCGCTATGTATGGCTACGATGTCCTTATGAGTATACCACAGGTTAGATCCTTTGTCTTATTTACGTGCATCCTAAATTATCTTCAGGGTAAGGACTACTTATATGATTTAATGGGAATAGAATTTCTTCGGAAGAAAGCTCTAGACGTCAAATTAGAATAATTACCACTTACAGAATGTCTCATTCTCATGTAATAAACTAATTTTTTGATAGGGCGAAGATTACAAAGTGATGGACACAATCTTCCCCAAAATGGTAAACTGCAGGATACAGGTCTGGGGTCCCACAGGGCTCCAGACTGAAGCCCTCCTCTGCGTTCTCCCCCAAAACATCGGCAACCAGTACTTTTTCCTCATCTTCTGGGCCCTCCTCATCCTCATCATGCTATCCAACCTTGTTTCCGTAATAGTGACCATATTCAGATTTTGCTTCGTAGCAGGAAGCTATAAACGATTTTTAACCGCGAGTCTTCTAGACCACGAGGAACGATATAAGTTGGTATTCACCCACGTGGGGACGACCGGCAGGTACATTCTTCAACTTTGTGCAGAAGTCAGCAACCCAAAAATATTTGAGGACCTTCTAGAGATAGTCTGCTCACTACTCATATCAAACTATCATAAAAGAAAGAGGAGTCGAGAACACCAAAAAGAAAGAGCCGGCAAGAGTAGGACTCGAAACAATTACGACGACTCAGCTGTTTGATCATGATAATGGGGATGCGGCTCTAACCGCTGTGACCAGGGTGTCACTGTGGCTTGGGGGCATCCTCAGTCAGGAGCTGTTTCAGTACCTGTTTTTATCGGTTTTAGACTAGATAATATAGATGTGTTAGTATGTTAGACAGGGTGACCCAAAATTAACTTACTTAGTTTAAAAGTGAAATTTAAAGAAATGTGTTCGTAGTAATTCTATGTTTACAGTACACTACAATATTCGTGATATTATAGGCTACCAGCTACATGCATGGAACGGTTAAGTTAAGTTTGGGTCAGCCCGTTGCATGGTTAAGGGGTAGTTTTTGATATAATAAGTTTTATCAATTAAGTTTACTTTGACCGAGTATTCAATTCATGATATTTGCTGTTAGCTACTCAGTTGTAATTCTAGCTAGTATTTACAATTAAGTTCTAAAAGTTTCAAGAAACATTGCTTTCCTGAAACAATAACTTTGAAATTTTAATATTAGGATTTTTATGCTAGATGAATTATAAATTACTTAATGATAGATTTGGTCTGTATTTCATTCATTAATTAAATTTAGGCGATTAATTAAAACTATCGAATCTATTGCTAAAATAATTGATATTCACATAGTATAATAATATAATATAATAGGTTCTAATTACAATTTAATTTCAAATTATTGTTTCAATTTCTATCATTCTACGTGAGCGTAAAATATCGATGGCTCAACTTCGAAATCGTGTTGCGCAGTGCGCATGAATACACCAACGAAATATACACCAACGAAACTTTTGCGAATGCGTAGCTGGTATTGCACGGTCTTTGTGTTTTTGAAATAACTTATTTTAAATATTAATGCACGAAACCTTTCGCTGCAAGCTCACACGGAATCCGTTATTTTGTGGAGCTTCGGACCACCCTGAGTACTAGAAGCTACTAGATCCCTACCAACATAATATTCTGTACAATTACATAACGTTAGTAACTTACATTTAACGCGAATAATCTTATTAGTTCATTGTTTCCTTGGTAACGGAGAGTTTTAATGGATTCATTTGCTCCACAAGTGGGCCCCCACCACGTCCGTGTCCCCATTAAATTGAATTAATATAAGAGATATTAGTTAAATTTAGTGAGACACAGAGCTAAGTTTCCGTAATAGTTTCAGTATTTCTTATCAAATACCACCTCTCAGAAGCCTAATAAGTGCACAATGAACTGCAGATGTTTCATTCATGACTATAAACACTGCAGCGAGTATTATTACACTAACGCTATTTTTATCTGTACCAGAGGTATTTTATAACTTCGCTTTCTCCAACAAAATTAAAATCACAACAAGTAAAATCTCCCGAAACCGCTGCGTACTTACCAAGTGTTTACGCCACGTTGTTATTGACACTGGAGTAGTCGGGGCCCGCCATTTAGCAAACGTGATAGTATGTAACACACACATTACACCCCTACACTTGCCACACGGCTACTGACGAACACTTCCCATGCATAGCATCCCTCTCCTCCTCTCATTGGTCACTTCTGCCCACGTGACTCTGACAAGACCTCTTGATTGGCTGACAGATCACACGTGGGCGCTATGCTCTGCTCTGATTGGTTGGATTTCAGGAGAGTACTCCTCTAGGAAACACTGTCTAGTCAGTTGAAGGGGGCTCTGGGAACCGTCTCGCGAGGGGGAGGAGGGTGACAAATGTATCAATATACTCTGTACTTTACAAAATACAAGAGTGCGCATTATATATAGTGAACACAGCTGTAATGTGCAGTTGTACAAAGCACTTAAATACACACAAAAACTATTCTTGTACTTTACGTGATGACTTGATAATGTTACATAAAATGCTTGTTAAACGAGCTAGTTTGTAAGTTTTTGCTGTGTTTTAAGTTTTTAACGATGTCGTCAGAATTAAAAGTTAACTTTTGGGGCTGCCCGAACACTAACACACTTATCTGGCAGTATCTGCCAAACAGAACACTGATACAAGTCTAATAGAATTACCAAGCATTGGAACAGATATCCGTATTCAGTACTGTCATGGAATGACGGCTGGTATATTGGGACTAATATCTGGGATGGGTTTGCAGGTTCAGCAATTTTAACTTTTCAGTCCTCAGTATGGATACTTTACCATTGTAGTAGTACTATTTGTTAAGTCTACAGTATTTGTACCAATTCTATCCCTGCGATAAACGCCCTTAAAAGATCATTCGCAACTTCAAATTTTAACTCAATTGGCATCCTTAGTTTAAAATCAACATACCTAAAATATTATCCTGTTAAAACATCCCCTGTTCCCCCTGATCAGGAACGCCACACATCAGGAAATAAACCACAACGTTTATTTCCTTCCGGTCTCCCCAGCTCTCTCCCAACGCTCTCCTCCCTGCTTGTTTTTCCAAGGTTACGTCACCATCTTACCCCTCCCTCATACTTCTAAACTCAGCTCAATCCATCTCATTTTCCTAATGATCTCTCATAGCGAGCGAGTGAGAGAGAGCGCTTTGTCACGAGGTAAATCTTTCTGGAACAATCTTTTAGAGAGACTGGTACAGATTTAGAGCAGTATGCTTGATAGGACACATTAAGATTTTTCAGGCTATTGTGCAATAACCTCCCTCTATCATGATGGACATGTAATGCTCTCTCTCTCTGAGAAGGAGAATATATGCATGCTCATGACACAGACCAGCCCCCCATGTACATATTGAAGGGGTGTGTGTAATGAGAAGGGGGCCCCTCTAAAATGGTCGATTAGATAACTCCTCTCTCTAACTGTTCGTGAAGCTAAACGATTAAAGGGGCTCCCTACCCGCTGTCTTCACCTATTGTGTTGCCACTCCCACGTGGGTGTCATCCCTGCTTTCTGATTGGCTACTGAGCGTCACGTGGGCGCTTTCTCGCAACCTGATTGGCTACTGAGCGTCACGTGGGCGCTTTCTCGCAACCTGATTAGTGGTTGACAGACACGTGGGGTTGTCTGTGGCTATTGTGAGTGATACAGATAAGTGTCTCATGCTACGTTCTACCCTCCCCTCTCCTTATTGTGCCTCAATAGACACTAAAGACCTGTACATACATAAACACTCACACTCGGAATCTCATTTATAAGATGTGAGCGTCCAATGGCCACCCGGGGCGGGGGATGTTAGAGGCAAGCCCGGATTTGTCTAATTACCAGAAGTATGGTCGTTTGAAGCCTCTCTCTCTCTCGTGGCCTAGACGCTTATCTAACCAGTGTACAAGAAGAATGTCACGTGTTACATATTATTCATTAATTGAGATCTCGAGAACAAGCATTCTAAGCAGATCTAGATCCTTCTAGGACAATGCCAGAAAGTCTGGACTAGATAGATCTAGCTAGATGGACTAGATTGAGCTAGATAGATGGACTAGAGTTAGAGAGATCTAGGAGCTACATGTGGAATGTGTGTGTATCTAGATGGTGGTCTAGAATGGTCTACAGCTACGTAAGAGGACGTAAGTCGTTAACAGATGTTCACAAATAACTGTCATGCTGACCACTACTAAGGATAGACCAACCCCCACTTACATCCTTCTCTTTGAGGGCCGTATTTGCTCTGTTTTACCCTGGCTCTCTGAACTCCTCCTATTGAGTATAGTGACCAACGTAGTGACCAATGTAGTGACCATTGTTCTATTGACCACTGATAAGAATACACCACCCCTCTAACCCCCCTCTCCTCTTTGAAAGCTCTAATTCCTTCAATGTGACCCGGCTCTCTGGCCCCCAGGTTGAGTGTAGAAAGAGGAATCAGGTGACTAGCACCATTACCATTAGTCACCTACACTCGCACACATTAGAGAGAGAAAGAGAGAGCGAGAGAGAACCCGGCTGCTAACATCATATAGGTAATGGAGAGCGCTTTACAAATCAGGCTTCTAACTTTAAAGGTATAATTTGGTGCCCGCCAGTGCTTAAATTAGGGTTTTAAGTACTCTTTGGAGGGAGATACACCAGTTTAAGTTAGCGTACAATTTATTGATGTTACTCTTTTGGGGTGCAGTAGTTGTTGTATCGCGTTGCTGCTCTTATTTGGTGCAATATTGTAGAATGTAGACCTAATGTTAGACAAAAAATGTTGTGCCTTGTCTGTGGGCTAAAATCTGGCTTCAACCTGATTTTCTGGGTACGCCCTTAATTTGCTGACTCCACAATTATCTCATTGGTATGATATCTGCCCTGTATACATTCCGTGTTCCCTCAATGTCGGTGTAGAAGTTTCATGCTCCTTGTCTAGCAGCTCCCTCTTGATTGGCTGGCTGAGATTTCACCGCGTTCTGATTGGCCAGTTAGGATATTAATGTGTTCTGATTGGCTGCAAGTGTTCTAGCACCTATTTGTTGTAATGAGTAGGGAAACCAGAAGTCTCCTGGTCGCGTTTAGCCTACAGACAAACAATTAACACACCGGGGGATACACAGCAAACCTTAGAGTAGCAGGAGGGGGATATTAGACATGCAATCAAGTACGGTGTAACACTGGGCAAGTCTGGGCAGGTTCAGGTAGTGTACCAGGTTTAGGTTGCAGTTACTGATTATCATTATAGTACATGTACTCTTGTATTGTTGTTAGGTGTTATCATGGGTAGGATCTACCAATTAACACCGAATCAACCTTAATCATATACTGGCTTATCTACCCGAATTTCAATTCTCCAGTCCACAAAACCTACTACTCAGGCCACTATCCAGCCTCTACATGATTGCCGCCAATTGAGCAGATAGCCACGCTGCTGTTGTAGCACACACCCACACTCACACCCACACACATAGCTGACATATTACGTCACACTAGCAGTCAAATACTGTGACGGTCTGTCGCCACGCAGTCTGCATAACTCTGTGTAAGTGTGCTGTGTGCGGTTCTAGGACTGTACCGCCGTTCTGTACGGTTCTGAGGCTGAACTGCGTCTTTGTGCGGTTCTGGAGCACTGTAACGCGGTTCTGTGCGGTTCTGGAGCACTGTAGCCCAGTTTGGAGCCAACAGTTACTTATTGGACATCATGTGAGCAGATAATAAAACTTGCCATTTCAACTGGTTTACGTGCCAGGGTAGCAATGGCTATCGCAGCAATCGGCATTGGAATAGCTGCATTGGAAATATTTTGCACTCATGTACATTTGGCAGAACTGCCGTTTTTCTGAGCTCTCCAGAACATTCCACCTCTCACTCTCCACAGCCGCTACTCTGCAGAATGCTGCAAACAAATACTGCAAGCACAGTTTTACACGGTAGCGTTGATACCAAGTCCAACCAGTTGACACATGGACTATTGTACTTGGTTATGACCGCGTGGGAACTAACTCTTCCCTCCCGCCCTTTCTACAGCTACCGGAATTATTTAAATAACTTACAAATATTAATTGCATGATAATTGATAATGTAAAGAAGAGGAGTGTGGTCTTCTCTGATTGGGAAAGTGTGCACTTTTAAGTTTGCACTGTGTATACACTGTGAGAATTCCCGACTTTTCCAGGGTGGGTGGGTAGATTTACAGAGTGTGTGCGTCAGATAGTGGAGATGGAGTCTTGGCTCATGACCACGGTAACTTTGAGGAAAATTAAAATGGCAGCTCGTTAGATAATAATTAGTTTCGGCATGTTTCTAATTGCGGGAATTATCACTAAAATTAGGACTAATTGAGGTAATTGTTTATTATTTACTGCCTCGATCTGCATCACGATGAAAAAAGTATCATCTGGTTTATTTCCGATATATGTATGATTTCCAGGCTGGCTACATCACATTAGCTTCCATTTCTTCTCTACTGTCACCACTCGACTACAATCTACATGCACCCTGTCTGGCAGGAGTATCCTACAAAACACGGGTCCTCCCTTGTCTGATCAGTTGTTAACAGTGATGTTCTAAATATTTGGCACCTTCTGCTTCTAGTCCGCGCCTTCTACGAGTACCAGGCACCAGCAGTCAGCACTCCTGCAAGTTAAAGGGCGGGTAATTTAACTATGAGTATGTTTTTTAAATACTGAAGGGGCGTGTAGTGTCTACATTCAAATTAAGGAACTGGTAGAGAATTGTGAGTGTTTTGTTAAGAATGAGTAGGTGGTAGTTAAGGAGCTGGTAGAGAATTGTGAGTGTTTTGTTAAGAATGAGTAGGTGGTAGTTAAGGAGCTGGTAAAGTTGTGAGTGTTTTGTTAAGAATGAGTAGGTGGTAGTTAAGGAACTGGTAGAGAATTGTGAGTGTTTTGTTAAGAATGAGTAGGTGGTAGTTAAGGAGCTGGTAGAGAATTGTGAGTGTTTTGTTAAGAATGAGTAGGTGGTAGTTAAGGAACTTGTAGAGAATTGTGAGTGTTTTGTTAAGAATGAGTAGGTGGTAGTTAAGGAACTGGTAGAGAATTGTGAGTGTTTTGTTAAGAATGAGTAGGTGGTAGTTAAGGAGCTGGTAGAGAATTGTGAGTGTTTTGTTAAGAATGAGTAGGTGGTAGTTAAGGAGCTGGTAGAGAATTGTGAGTGTTTTGTTACAATGAGTAGGTGGTAGTTAAGGAACTGGTAGAGAATTGTGAGTGTTTTGTTAAGAATGAGTAGGTGGTAGTTAAGGAACTTGTAGAGAATTGTTTTGTTAAGAATGAGTAGGTGGTAGTTAAGGAGCTGGTAGAGAATTGTGAGTGTTTTGTTAAGAATGAGTAGGTGGTAGTTAAGGAACTGGTAGAGAATTGTGAGTGTTTTGTTACAATGAGTAGGTGGTAGTTAAGGAACTGGTAGAGAATTGTGAGTGTTTTGTTAAGAATGAGTAGGTGGTAGTTAAGGAGCTGGTAGAGAATTGTGAGTGTTTTGTTAAGAATGAGTAGGTGGTAGTTAAGGAGCTGGTAGAGAATTGTGAGTGTTTTGTTAAGAATGAGTAGGTGGTAGTTAAGGAGCTGGTAGAGAATTGTGAGTGTTTTGTTAAGAATGAGTAGGTGGTAGTTAAGGAGCTGGTAGAGAATTGTGAGTGTTTTGTTAAGAATGAGTAGGTGGTAGTTAAGGAGCTGGTAGAGAATTGTGAGTGTTTTGTTAAGAATGAGTAGGTGGTAGTTAAGGAGCTGGTAGAGAATTGTGAGTGTTTTGTTAAGAATGTGGCAGTAAAGTGACTTCACTACCAGTGACCGGCTACTAAGTAGTCTATTAACACGTTTGCAGGGCGGGGAAGTAAAAACACTGGTCTACTCGGAGTGTTGCTATTAGCGGGTTATCTTAGTGGTGACAGCACTACACAGAGTGGAGTACTCTTCCAGCATTCTTCCTGACTACACATAGCCTGACTACACATAACCTGACTACACATAACCTGGCTACACATATCCTGACTACACAGTGGGTGACTACACATAACCTGACTACACACCACATTCCTAACCACACACGTGCCTGGTAACTAGGTCTGAACATTAACACACATCCCGCACCTGTGTTTACCCAGTGTAATCAGCCTATGTTGCAGACTGTACCCCCTGTGTTCTGCACGGTTCTGTACATGTTGTGCAGCACACAGTTCCTTAGTCTGTAACTGTAGTCTGTGTTACAATAAGGTACATGTGTTACTGTCAGTTGCAGTGCTGGTCAGTACACCATGGTGCCCATGTTGCTAATTGTGAAGAGGACTTTAAACACCCCCCAACAACTTGTACTCCAGGACCCCTGAACCTGCTCTATTTTTAGAACAACATGGAATCATATCATAGTGTATTTTAGAGGTCATTTTATAGTTAAGTGTATTTTATAGTACATTGGAAAGTACTGTCTAGTGTCTGTACCGTGCTCAATATCGTATCTGAGCGTTGAGTACCAGCTGACTTCACATACTTATCCGCTTAAGGAATGTAACGTGACTCCTCTAGCTCTCTCTACGCACATTATACTGTTGTGATCAGGAATTTAAAAATTCGAACAACCAGCTCCAGACAGCACTGAGAATACTATAGAAATACTTGCTCCTTCGTAAATTACATACACATTATTTTAACTTTAAAACTAGACATGTTCTTGGACTATCCTGTTAAGAATACCTTGTGTAATGTGTATTGAAGACTCTGCCCACTTACTGGTTATCAAAAAGAGACTGTTCTTAGTTCCCCTGTTCTAGTTAAAAACAACCCATTAAATCATGTTCTTTAATAGAATACAATATTTCGTGCTATATGTTTATTGTGTTGTGATATATATTTCAAATGCTTCCGTATTTTTCGTCCAGAATCCTTATTTCCCATGACTTTAACAATAGGACTGTTCATTATGTCAACTTCCATTTGTATTGATTAGTAAATATTGTGCCACGATGTCTCTACTACAATTTAAACACCTATAAATCATATGTTCGCCAATATATCACCATCTTCAATTTCTTTACAAAGTGCTAATAATGATGATACTGGTTTTACTGAACTGAATGGAAATGCTAATAGCACTCAGATTTGAACAACCCTGACCCCTTATAACACAGAACAGAAGATACATCATGTACATACCAATAGATACTCAAAAATGCAAATTCCAGAAACTTAGCAATACAATTTGTATTCAGAGTCCTAATACTTGGCACATGTTTCTCACAAAGAGACACGATACTCGCCATGTGTTCTACAATAGATAAGCTTGTAGTCTAAACCCACATCATTTCCACAATTACAGTCTCCCACTGCTTTACGGAGGGCTATTACACCGTGTACAGCTCTATTATCTACCATTCTATAACTACTCTTAATCACGTGACACCATACTGCGCTCTTATTGGCTGGTTAGTTCGCTCTCTGCGCTCTTATTGGTTAGTTGGTCTGGTTGCTTGTATGTTATTGGGCGATTCCCCTTATCGGATAATGATTAGGTAGTGTACGTTAAACAAATGGACTCTACTCTACCTGGATTCTTACTGTTTGGTTGCTTGTTTTGATGATCTTTATCGGACCTTACTCCGGTCTTTAATTCTTTGCTTCCGCTTTACAGAGACATGTTTGCTATTTTAGTATTTTAGTATTTGAGTTATCATTTTAGTATTTTAGTTGTCATTTTAGTATTTTAGTTGTCATTTTAGTATTTTAGTATTTGAGTTATCATTTTAATATTTTTGTTATCATCCTGTTCAGACCTTTTTCATTGCCACATTACATTGCTAGTATTGTTAATTGTATTGTAGGAATTATATAACGAGATATATTGACACCGGGGAGAGCGTACTGTCTGTAACATTTTGAATGAATACAATTATTATTATCCACTAATTATGTATCAATTAATAATTATAAATTAATAACCTTACAACCCATTATAAAACTAACCGCCTCCACCTCTTTAGTAGCAAGTCAGTGAATCACATAGTAGTAAAGAACTACAGAAAGTAACAGAGTTACACTAGCTGCTGTACGATGGTTATTGACATCCTCTCTGGGTTTAAGGGAATTACCCCATTCAAGGGGATCACGTTAGGTGAGTTGTCTTTAATTTAAATAAGTTCTATTCATATTAACTTGTTTTCAGTAAGTATATATATATGAAATAAGTTATATTTTAAGTATATAAGTATTAGATTATTGTTATTCAATCGCAGTTAAAATTAGTTTTGTCCTGGCCGGGGGGAATGCAACGTCAATTAATGTCAGTATTCCATAAAAACCCCAAACTGACATTGACATTAATTGACATTAATTGACATTAATTGACATTAATTGACATTAATTGACATTAATTGACATTAATTGACATTAATATGTCTTGAAATTTGAGATTATCATTATTCGATAAATATAACGGCCAGGTAGCGCAGTTGGTTAGAACGCCAGCTTTGCAATCGTGAGGTTGCGGGTTCAAATCCCACTGTCTGCCTGGTCGTGGGGTGAGCGTCGTTGACGTTTAGCTAAGGATCCTGAGTGGTCTATGCAGCCCCCCGGTCTACTCAGCCGAATACTCGAGAAATCAGGTGTGAGGGTTAAATGAGGAGCTGCACATTGCAGCAAAGTCTCGGGCGAAGAAAGTATGGTACACACTACCTTAACCGTCACTGGCTAAAAAAACAAATCCTTCGGCTTCCTGTAATTGGCTGGTTGCACTTGTGTAACAATGTGGCTGATGGAATACTCTGAAGTAAAATAAGTGTCTTGATAAAAAAAAAATTCAAGATATTCACGTCTATGTAAGTTAGACCGGTTCAAAAAAACAAAATGTCCTTGAATAATTATGAGTATGTTCTTATCTGTTGATCCTTAGGTTCAAAGACCACCAAAAAAAATTTCAGCTTCCAACTCTTCCATCTTCGGTCCCCACCGGCCACGCCCATATTTTATTGGTTTCTTATACAGGTAAAATATCTAGAATCGGCTTTTTTAGTATGAAGGAGTAATGTTAGCTGTTTAAGATTCGTTATTCAAATATAAATGTCATGAAGGCATTTCGTTTAATGTGGGTTTTAAGTTCTGATGATGTTGAGAACCACGCCCTTGGATGGCCACGCCCATTTAAGAAAATTAAATTTCGGGAAACCGTATTATTTTAGTTTTATTGTTTAATGATCTGAATTTTTTTCACATTTCACATTTCCATATGTGATAGTAGTGAATAAATTGATGATATAAACGTTCTAAAGTGCTAAAAATATGGTAGAACTACATAATCTCTGGTCGAAAAATATCGTGTCAATTAATGTCAGTATTCCAAAATTTTGCAAAACTGACATTGACATTAATTGACATTAATTGACATTAATTGACATTAATTGACATTAATTGACATTAATTGACGTTGCATCACCCCCTCCTGGCCATCTATAATCTATACGCTGTAATTAATTGTTTTGTGTAATTGTAAGTTGATTATACTCAGTATACTGTAGGCCTTTGTATTAAGGACAATGTTTAAGCTTGTTACCTCTATACTTAGCATTTGATCTGTCTTCAGCAAAATTTTGACAAATTACAAATATGTTGAGCTCACTGAAAAATTTTAGAGGCTAATTTCCATAACTAAAAGATATATTTACGGCTACTCTGAGCAAAATATACAATGTGACATGTTACTGGATATATATAACTGTTATCAATACGATAAATTTCGCACTATTAGTTGTCAATCTAGGGATAATTTATTGTCTGTGCAGAGCTGAGGGATATCTTCTGTTCAATTGGACTTTTTTTAAAGGACGGAGCAAACTTCTACAAGATGAAATTTTACCTTCCACAGAAAATTTTTTGATTTGCACCCATAATCGTCCAAAACCAGAAACATTATCTTTAAGAATTGAATTTAAGCTCGAGAGTACATGCTTGAGAATTATAACACTAGCCTGTTGCAGCAGTAGTATTTAATATTGCAAATACATGTTATCAAGTACATATGAGGACAGTTGACTATCGGGCTAACTGTATTTAATTTGAGTGCTGAGAAGTTGGAAATCTTACAAGGTCGCTTGATCGAGTTATATATTCTTTAGTATGGTATCTGGGCTATAGGATGACGCCCCAAGCTACTCGAACTTTAGGATTTTGTAACTCATTCTAAAGAATATTGACCAATAGAATTAGTCATGAACGAATAAATTTATGAATTTCAATTAGTACGCTGATTAATCAGCTAATTATCGAGTCAATTATTGAGCTAATTGTTAATTATTTTCAGATGACGGGTGGGATCAGATAAACAGGAGTTTCATGTTCGTTCTGTGCGTGCTCATGGGAACGGTTGTAACGGTGCGGCAGTACGCGGGAGGTAAACAATCTGTCTGTTTGGGTGTTCGTCTGTTCGTTCGTTCGCATATTTATGTCAGTTTTTGTCCACTGGACTGCATGTCATTTTGTTTCCCTTCACAATGGATGGAACCTGTTAATTACAGTTTCGTTAGAACTTATCAAATTTCGATCATTGAATTTGTTGATAATAAGTTTTCAGGACCAAACGGGAATTGAATTTTTGCTCTTTTACTAAAAATGTCAGCGGTTGGTTAAAATCACCACTTTATGTGGCTACCATGAAAATTAAAATGAAATGACCAAGTGGTTAGCCAAACACCAACCCACCCACCGTCCAGCATTAATAGCGTGCAACGGTTTCGATAAATTCGGAGCGGCGTTCAGCGAGGATTACTGCTGGACACAAGGGCTGTACACGGTAAAGGAGGCCTATGACCTGTTGTCACTTAACGTACCGTACCCAGGTTTGGAGTGCTATTGTTGTAGCCAGAGGATCCCGGTATGGAATGAGAGGTGTTTTGGAGGCAAGGGAGGTGGTCTGCGGAGGAACATCGTGTTTTTTATTGCTGCTAGTTGTTTGAGTTATGAGCTGATTTATATTAACGATGTTTCCTCCGAGTAACCGCCCCCAGTGCACTGCCACCCCAGAACTCTCATCTCCCGGGATCCCGCCTTTACTGCTGCTCTTCGCTGACCTTGATCTCTTGCTTGCAGGAATTATTTCATGTGACGGCTTTACAAAATACTCGGGCTCGTTTAGCGAGGATTACTGCTGGACACAAGGTCTTTACACCATCAAGGAAGCATATGACCTCTTGCTGATGAACGTGCCCTATCCAGGTACAGTTCCGGAGATGAATGTCATGTCACGTGATTAACGGTATATCGTCACGTGACAGTGATACTAAATTGTAATTTTTTAAAACAGATATTTTTGGGTCAGAAATAACGTAATGTGCCGATGCTGAGTATGGGAAACTCATTTACAGGCGGTATTCGGATGCTATACTCAGGTTTTTAGTCATTGCGTTAATTCTGGCCCAGCATTTAAAAAATGTTGGTGTCTCGATGTGGTAAAAATAAGCTCGTGGGGGCTCAGTCAACAAACCTTTCTTATGGACAGGGGCTATTTACAACAATCTAAATCATTAAAAGCTTACCAAGTTTACCATGGTATGCTCGAAAATATGTGGTCCACATATTTTGATTTCCAATCATCACAATCACTCACCAAATTTCACGTTCTTTAAATCGTCAAGACATTAAGCAGACCCAGAACGGTAAATAGACAGATTAGACACTATACATCTCTCAAGAAAGACGGTCCTATTTTGGTACAGTATCTAGACGACGCTAAATATGTCTTATCTTTTACCACAATCAAGGAGTGATTTTCCAACATGAAATTCAACAAAATTAATTCTTCTAAACTTGCCTGGACATGACGTCTCAAATCGAGAAAACTAGTGTTGAACAATCACTCCTCCTTCATCAATTCAAGTGGGTTTCTCTGCTATTATCGTTTAAAAGACCGCTGAATTTTATAATAATAGTTAGTATAGCTGGGTACCGCTGGGTTGCGATCATAGTCAAGCTACCTTCCTAATCACGTGATGTGACGTCACCACTTTTTATGACGTCACACCGTTCATGAAACCATGTTATGGCTATTATTATTTTCTGAGCTAAGTATGCTTAATTGGGGCTATCGAAAATTCGGAAGTAGCTGCATTAAGTTATTACTTACTCATTTATATCATATCTAATGTTTTTTGGCCCACAAGGCCTAAATTGATATTGTATACATTTCCCAAGAATATACATTTCCCGAGAATATATATTTTGTCCGAGTTTACTTTCTATATTATTTTTTCTGTTTGACTCAATTCCAATTCCCCTCACAGGAGTAATTCCTGAGGACATGCCTGCTTGTATTGAACGGGAACTGATTAACGGAGGTCGAGTGGCCTGCCCCGATCCTGAAACTGTAAAACCACCCACCAGGTTTGTTCATTTGTCCGTCCGATTGTACAGTTAATGTAAGGACTAGACGCTGAGTTTCAGTTATAATATCTGTAGTGTCATAACCGGTTTATATATCAAGTCCTTTTACAGACATTTGTTGTGACAATCCGTTCGCCTTTACATACTCGAGTGTAACCTTGCTCGATTAGGACGTATAACTGACGCTTCCAGAACTTTAAAACTGTCCTTCGCTCAATTTACTGATACTGGACATAGACTAATGACATTCCAAACAGCTCCTCCGGGCCCCCCTGCTCTTATATTACACCCGACCTGACTTGTAAAGTGGGTATCAAGTAACCTCTCAAATATTTGAACTGTTCATTAATCTTGTCCCTGGAGCAGTGCAATGAGTGTTGCAATATGGTGCTATGAGTCACGTGAAAGTTTATAAGGGGACTACGAGAGTCCGGTGTTGTGGCTGTAAGACCTTTACTTTCTCTGTTAGACGACCAGGTGGCATGGGTAATCTTTAGAAACTCAATTACTACGTGTATCACGTGATGTGACGTCAAACCACGTGCGAACTATTTGATTGGCTTCACCAGCACGTGGTATGACGTTATGACACGTGTGTTCAGTATTATGATTGGTTGCGCCAGCACGTGGGCTTGTCTCCATTGGTTACACGGCGTGATTCAGTGATCGCGTGATATTAAGAGTCCCATAACAATGGTTATTGTCACGTCAGGAAGCCCGGATTGGGTTACAAATCTCGTATATCATGGTTCTCCCCGGAATGTATTCCTTATCCTCGTGATGTTTTAACATTTAGGAAGACTAACCAAGTACGATATGATATTTGATTGTCGTCATGAAATATAGCAAAAACTGGTAAATATTTGTCCGTCCGGACCGGAGTAAGAAATCTTCTGGAAAATTCTCTGAGTGCTGCCTTTCACACTTTCGATAAAATGTTTTCAGTTCACCGATCTTTATTTACGGGGCGCTTGTACTCGAAAGTTCTATGACTGTTGCCAAGGTTACGGACGGACATTTATCCACATCGGTAACATTTCCAAGATCCACAGAATCTGAAAACATTTTATCCTCAGTTGTGGTGAGGTACTATCAGACACTAAATTATTGGGCACAGGTGAAATACCACCACCCCAACCAGAGAACAGTTCACCACAGACAGAACACCTCACACAGGGTGGGACATCAGACACTGTTGATAAACCCTATTTGAGGGCAACTGACAGTCCAGTGCCATTACATCATACAAACAACACGTCACCACATCAAGCTATAGACGGAACCTTTCAGTCGGACCAAAATATATCCTTGAAAAATGAAACTTTGTCCACGATGAGAAATCTTGATATTTCTGATACAAAAATTGTGCCTGTGGTGGATCCTGGCTTGAGTCCACGGACACTAACGAGTCCAACCACAACTCTCACCGACAAGACTTCCGGACAGGTTTCTAGTGTTAGCCCACCCAACCAAACCACATATCTCCCCAACACCCCACAACAATCCGACCAAACCACTGAATTCTTGACTAACACCCCAACCACTGAACATTCCAACCAAACCACCACATCTTCAACCACCACACCCCTCACTCCCACAACACAATCCACTGCACAACCTCGAAGTGACATCACCCCCAATGCTAACCGCTCAAACCAGACCACACCGCCACCCTGGGTTTGGGGAGTGTGGGTGTCCTCTACTTCTGAGCCCTGGCCTAGGGTACAGACTAACTTGACTGACCGACCTGCCAGACTTAGGGACAGCAATGTTCCTTGTATAGATAGGAAAGCTACTACTAGGTTGTTTTTTAAATGGTTGCATCTTTCAATTATATTTTCTTGTGTCTTGTTTTTGGTTAGTTGAATCAGCCATTATAATTTGTCCATTATTTTATTTGTTCTGTAACATTTCACTTCTTCAGAGTATACCACTTGTGGTACCAGTGGGTTCCATTCTACTTCTGGCTTGCAGCTGCCGCTTTCTTCTTCCCTTATCTTATCTACAAACATTTCGGTGTTGGCGACCTCAAACCCCTCATTCAGATGCTCCATAACCCCATCGTCGACGAAGGTAAGAAAAACTAAATCACGTTATACGTTTAAATATACAGTACATACCGGTATAGTTGAAATACATCTCGAGATTTTATAATCTGAAATACGATTTACCTTTCTTGATAATAATCACGTGATCCACCTGATGACGTCACACACTAGAGGTCTCTATTTTACAATAGTTACACCACATCCTGACAGGTAATACCTAATAACGGGAATTTATCTTTAAGTATTATGCAGTTTGTCTCTAATACAAAAGGTGGTTATTTCGTCTACTCGTTGTGGGGAAAAAACTGTAAAATTGGTCTAACATGTAAAGTCTCTATTACATGTATTAGTTCTATTAGCCTGTATTAGTTCTATTAGCCAAATTGTCTTGGAGGAGGGACAGGAGGAAGTCTGGACAAATGGTGTCCAATTATCACCTTGGTAATCTTGTATAATGTTATATTCATTATTCAATTAGTAAATAACGCTAAACATGTATAATACGTCTGAGAACCTCTTTTATTTAAAGTTTTATTAAATTTTTCAGACATCAAAGAAATTTTCGTAAGGAGCCGGGTCCCCCATGAGCGGTATTAAATTATTCGCATAAAATATAATTATACGAAGGACCCTCTGTAGTCTATGTGTCTGAACGAAGAACGTAAATTGGTTTATAATAACTTAAATATATATTGGTCTATGATAAGTTGAATTGGTTTATAATACGTTTAATTTATTATTTGCTGACTGTGCATGCTACTGATAAAAACGTTAATGACTCCTGTCTTGTCTAAAAGCGTGACGTAAGATAAGAGCTAAAGTTGATGAAATATTTGATGACTTAAGAGTTAAGGTTCCATGACTCAACAGTCAACATGGGGTTCTTAGATGAGCTAATATAAAAGAAAGGGACCTCACAATTTCCTGTTTCATCAGGCGACTGTGTGTAATATAATAACATTATCTAACATAACACTGGTCCTGTAGTAACAAGACTAACGAGGGACCCGCTCACTGTCTGTATTAGGTTACACTAGTTTTGTACATCCCAACACATTCTGCTCTTTTGTTGAAATATCTTTGAGGTGGTGGTACTGTGTATGTACATGTGATATTAAGAGGAGAAAGTAAGAACAAAACAGAAAGTGAGAACAAAACAATCCCGCCAATTTTCAAAATATGTGTGTAACATCATGGGGCCGTTACAAGTGGGACTCCCACAAATTGAAATTCGATTTTAGTTGCTTTTATCCCCTTAACATTCCGGACTTACACTAGGCCCTCTTAAGTCATAGTATGTAGTGTCGTTGGTACAGGAAGCATTTCAAGCAAGTTATGAGTTTTTGATTTAATAAGTGCTGACATCACGCAACTCAAGTGGGTAGAATCGAGTGAAATCGAGGGAAAATGAGTTAAAAGTAGTAATGTATAATTGGGAAGGTGTTTAAACTAAGATACATAACAGGATAATTGCTCTTGGGCTGCATTTAGTGGTCTTCGGGCGATTCCCTGTCGTCAGTTTAAGAAGAACAACCAACGAAATTATATAGGACAACTGGAGATAATTGGTAGAATAAAAATAAAATAGAATCCCAAAACTTTCCTCTCAAGATGAAGGAATAAATAATAGCTTTATCTGTCCTTATCTAACCTTACCACTCTTCTCAGGTGACCAGAACGCAATGGCAGAAAAGGCAAGCATGTGGCTGTTCTACAAACTGAACGTCTTCATGAACGAAAACACCATCTTCGCTATCCTGACCGAGAAACACAGGCTATTCTTCATCGTAATGGTCGTCAAATCTCTATACCTGATCATCAGGTCAGTTTGTTGATTAGTTAGTTAATTAATAATTAATTAACTAACTTAAGTTAATTAGATCATTTTCTTGTTAAAATCTACCATTATCTCTTGTTCACTTACGTCGGCTTTTTTTCATCCAAAATCTAGTTGGTTTAATAGGCTTTACTCTAGTAATCACCACGGGTGTTTTCTCTCATGTTTAGCCAGCATTTCTGCGTCATTATCTATTGTCAGATGGTCTAACAGAATGTTGTCACTTTCTAATGTGCCCAATTATAACATTACTAAACTAATTACGTCTAACGACTCACCCCAACAACACACCCACCCTCACAAGTCAGGTACACTATACTGACACAGCTACAGATAAACCATGTTAACGAACACTTCCAGCTAACCGCTTACTCACTTACACCACTATTTCCATTGTTCGGTTTTACGTTGTCCAATTATTGATCAGCCTGTTTAAATAAAGCCAAACGAGCCGTGTAGCCTTATTGGCTAAGTCATTGGCAGTTATGTGATTATCGTAGGATAATTATCTATCATCGCGTCGTACGAGGTTTACCTAACTCTTGACCAAAATTAGGGAACAAACAATATTACGAAGGAGTCCGTCACATTGATGACTAATGATGGATCATATTCTAAATATACACAGGGGTTTGGTACACTTCTTAATCAACTTGGTGGCCCATCTCGTCTTATTCACTTGGCCACGACCCATCCCACCAACCTGTTGGACGGAAAAACAAATATAATAAAACACACATTTATTGAGCATATTTTAATTTAGTCGGTTGTAATTAATTTTAACGCACATATGTTCGCAGTATCATGGCTCTGTACCTGACGGACGAGATGTTCCACATTGGCTCCTTTATATCGTATGGAAGTGAGTGGGCCACGTCGCTACCTGTGGGGGACAACGAGACGACCCTTGTTAAAGACAAGCTTTTCCCCAAGATGGTGGCTTGTGAGATCAAACGATGGGGTCCTACCGGTGAGTTTCAGAGGATATCCATGAATATTTGTAATCATTTTGGGGAGTGTCATTCCAGCATGTCGGCGTGGTTTAAGTTTTAATCTAGTGCGGCTATTAGCTGTCGGGAGAAAGGGTAATTGCAGGTTTGCACGTGAGATTACAGTTAACATCTTCTTTCCACTCGCCGCACAAGCTTGATTAGCATTTAAAACTAGATATGATAGTGTTATGCCGACGCGCCGAATCAATTAGCTCAATTTTATCCATCGATAATTCTTTTCAGATATTTGATTTATCGATGGAATAAAAAAGCTTACAATTGGTATTGTAGACAGTCCTGAAATGATAAATTTTGAAATTTTCAAACACGCCGAGCTTAAGGGGACATACACCAAAAGCTTTTATGCCCTGGCCCTGCTTTTAACGTCATATTAAGAAAGTATACATAAAAACAATAAGATTTGATACATTAAAAATTATTTTTGAGGACCCGCACTTTCGAAAAAATAAATATTTTCTTTTTCGAAAATTTTGGAAATTTTGAGAAGTCTGTCACTGTAATACCAATATTTCAGTCATTTTAAACGTTTATTGACTGATTTTTTAACTGAACATTATTTACAATCCGTACAAGAAGCCCTTCAAAGGATTTTATAATTAAAATATAGATGACGAAGTTACAGGCCAAACAAGGTCGAGAGAAGCAAAATTGAAATATTTGTAAAAATCAAAGTTGTATATTTTACCATTCACCCAGGTCATAAGATATCGCTTCAAAAATTCTTGTGAGTGTAGCTGATGATCATATCCAACTTTTTGGAACAGGATTTCTCTCAATTTTGAGTTTTAAGGTATGAAATGTGGCCTCAAACGACTTAGTAAAATTCATCGTAAAAAGGGCCAAACATGGCAGATTTAAGGCTTAAAATGCCTATAACTCAAAAAGTATCAGTTTTTTTGAAATAATTTTTACAGAATCGTAATCAGCTTGAGAAGACGAATCTTTTAGTACCAAATAGGTGATTTTAGAAGACAAATTGTCTTAAATAATTTTCTAGCTCGAACACAAGGGTCCCCCCTTGTATAAATTTTGTACAAATTGTACACATTTTTTTACAAATTTTGTGTCTTTAACTATTATAAATTTGGTACTAAAAGATTCGTCTTACCAAGCTGATTACGATCCTGTAAAAATTATTTCAAAAAAACTGATACTTTTTGAGTTATAGGCATTTTAAGCCTTAAATCTGCCATGTTTGGCCCTTTTTACGATGAATTTTACTAAGTCGTTTGAGGCCACATTTCATACCTTAAAACTCAAAATTGAGAGAAATCCTGTTCCAAAAAGTTGGATATGATCATCAGCTACACTCACAAGAATTTTTGAAGCGATATCTTATGACCTGGGTGAATGGTAAAATATACAACTTTGATTTTTACAAATATTTCAATTTTGCTTCTCTCGACCTTGTTTGGCCTGTAACTTCGTCATCTATATTTTAATTATAAAATCCTTAGAGGGGCTTCTTGTACGGATTGTAAATAATGTTCAGTTAAAAAATCAGTCAATAAACGTTTAAAATGACTGAAATATCGGTATTACAGTGACAGACTTCTCAAAATTTCCAAAATTTTCGAAAAAGAAAATATTTATTTTTTCGAAAGTGCGGGTCCTCAAAAATAATTTTTAATGTATCAAATCTTATTGTTTTTATGTATACTTTCTTAATATGACGTTAACAGCAGGGCCAGGGCATAAAAGCTTTTGGTGTATGTCCCCTTAAGGCGACGAAGTAACTGTCTAGTTATTATCACCCAATTATACGATTACCAACCAATTACCCAATTAGCGAACCGTGCAGTGTGCACTGACACGACTCTCAAACCAATGATGTACGTTGTTATTCCGCCTTATCCCCCCTAACACATGTTTTCTTCAGGTCTGGAGGAGGAACAAGGAATGTGTGTGTTGGCCCCCAATGTTATCAACCAGTATCTCTTCCTCATCCTCTGGTTAGTAGATCACAAACAAACTTATAAAATGTTTTGAGGCGTCAATTCAAAACTTTCCAGCCGAATGTGGTAGTACATTCCCAGATAAAGTCCATCCAGCTGCTAAAATAAAACCCCTCTCTCAGGTTCGCCATTATCTTCTGCATCGCTTGTAACTGCCTGTCCGTTCTCTTCGCCCTCACAAAGTTGATATTTGTCCTGGGATCATACAAGAGACTGCTAGCCAGCGCCTTCCTCAAGGACGAACTCCGTGAGTTGCTTGACGATTGTTTGTTTATTTTTTGGGGTCTAATGCTTGGTATTTTGAAAAACCTGGTTGAAGGCGAGTGTTGCTTTTTATGAGGAGTGGACGGATTTCTTGATACTTTTACTGACTTTGACGGACCTTAAGTATTCCAAATTTCAAGCTTAGTTTTAACTTTTCAGACGCCTTCCGTGAGCTTCATAAGCAGATCGGCTCGTCAGGCCGAATTTACCTTGAGATTATTTGTGATAATGTCAGTCCTGGGCTTTTTGAGATTTTGATCGCATTTATCTTGGAGCAATTTAAGCTTAGAGGCAAAGGAAAAATATCCCGGCTCTTGAAGGATTATGAAAATGACTTTCGACCGCCTATCATCCAAAATACAGAAAATCAGACATATACAGACCCGTAACAACAGTTGATTAACTGACCAAATAGTGAGTATTACAAACTTTATACAAACTTAACTTGACAAACTATACACACTATACACTTTACAGTGTATAGTAGTATATACATTACACACATACGCTATACACACGGACAACCCAGCTATTAGGGAGATCTACATGTGCACCGGAACCTCTGGTCGGTTCATGCTCCACTTCCTTCTGGACCGTATTGGTCCGGCCCGGTTTCACCTACTCATTGTGTACCTGGTGGAGCGATTTAGGAGGAACCTGGAGCGGGAACTGAGGAGGGGTGGTGGGGAGAGTAGTCGGGGTCTGTTAAGGGAGAGATAGGTGGTAGGTGTAGGGTGATGAAGATTAATGTGACAAGACGTGACAAGCATACTGTGACAAGTGTACTGTGACAAAACACTGTGTGTGACAAGTATACTGTGACAAAACACTGTGTGTGACAAGTATACTGTGACAAAACACTGTGTGTGACAAGTATACTGTGACAAAACACTGTGTGTGACAAGCATACGCATACTGTGACAAAACACTGTGTGTGACAAGTATACTGTGACAAAACACTGTGTGTGACAAGTATACTGTGACAAAACACTGTGTGTGACAAGTATACTGTGACAAAACACTGTGTGTGACAAGTATACTGTGACAAAACACTGTGTGTGACAAGTATACTGTGACAAAACACTGTGTGTGACAAGCATACTGTGACAAAACACTGTGTGTGACAAGTATACTGTGACAAAACACTGTGTGTGACAAGCATACTGTGACAAAACACTGTGTGTGACAAGCATACTGTGACAAAACACTGTGTGTGACAAGTATACTGTGACAAAACATAATATGTGTGTGACAAGTATACTGTGACAAAACATATGTGTGTGACAAGTATACTGTCACAAAACACTGTGTGTGACAAGTATACTGTGACAAAACACTGTGTGTGACAAGTATACTGTGACAAAACACTGTGTGTGACAAGTATACTGTGACAAAACATATGTGTGACAAGTATACTGTGACAAAACACTGTGTGTGACAAGTATACTGTGACAAAACACTGTGTGTGACAAGTATACTGTGACAAAACACTGTGTGTGATAAGAGATGCTGGTCATCTGATGGAACGTGCTGACTTTTAGAGCAGTTAAAATATTTATTTGGAAAATGGGCTTATTTTTAACGAAAGTTGAAGAGTTCGTACCTCTAAGTCTAAGTGAAGCACTTATAATTATATGAATCAAGATCCAAGTTGATTTTGGATGTCCTATTAAGCAAGTGCCTCTTTAATTTGAGCTGACGTTGCAAAAATGCAGAATTATAGCTAGTTCATTGAATTCCTATGTATTTGAAGCTGTCAACTTGATAGTTGAGTTTGTAATTTTCTTAATATTATCAAAAACCAACGTTTCCTTCCATTTCAGATTACAAACACATGTTCTTTAACGTTGGTACGAGTGGAAGAGTCCTATTGCAGATTGTAGCTTCCAACGTTTCGCCGCGTGTCTTCGAGTCCATCATGGCTAACCTTGCCACCAAGTTGATAGCCGAACGTTTGAAGGGGAATGGTAAAGGGAGTGTCTAGTGCTTACACACCCTCGTGACCATTGCGTGTCGTCACGTGCTACAAACATGTGTTACGCCGCGCGCTCGGTCGCAGCCCCGCGTCAGTCAAGAAGCATACTCCGCCGTTTTCGAGGTACTTCTATATATATCAGTCAGAGGCAATAGGCGTGAGGTCTAGGACTGCTTTCTAAATGATGATAAGTATGGTAATCATTGCTATATTTGGATTAAAATATTTTCAAAAACATTGGATCGGTTTAAAAGGTTGAGGAATGGGTCCCACAGCTTCACGGCAGCTGTGTTCATTTAACAGGTCACCCTCATTGTGATTTGTGAGCTGAATGATGGAAGTTCATGTTATTAAACACTCTATCATGTAGACTGATAAACGTAGGATCAGACATTTTCTTAACGAAAACTCTGCATGGACTACAATATAAATTCAGATAGTTCAATTTCCCAAAAAAAGATTTGACTTAATGTGAAACTATAATCACCTACATTGGCTGGTGTAATGGGACTACTACTAATCCGACGTTGTCTTGTGAAAAAGCTTTTCTCCGTAAAAAAACAGCAAGAAATCTTAAACCAAACCTTGTCATAGTGTTTTTATCAACTCAAATTCCATCGAATTTTGACATTTTAATTGTTGTTATGACGAAGATGATCGAATTTTTAGACTTCTAGAGACATATAATTCCTGTTGCTTTTTTTCTGAACATGATGATTTTGGGGAGAAACTACTTTTACCGGCTTTTTCAGACAATCGCAGTGATTTTTAAACATTATTTTTTGTAGTTATTTTGGACGGTTAAGGTTTGGAAATGTGACGCGATCATTGCACGCTTGTCACTCTTTCAGATCTTGCATTATGAATGTCTTATACCACTTATAGATCGATATAAAATATATTAACATGTCAATGTTCAGGGGCAAACATCGTAAATTACCCCCCAGAATTAGTGTTTTGTAAATTATCAAAATTTCGGGTCATCTTAAAAGTTAATGTGTTGAGAAGAAATTGATAAGTTTTGTAGTAAATTATCGTGATTTGTCCCATGTTTTAGTTACTAAAAGGATTCGGTATCCATCACCCTTGGATTTAATATCCGTTGCCCTTAGAACCTTGGCGTCATCGTATAATGACGTCATCAGATCGTTTATTTTCTTCGATTAATTGGGTCGTAAACTGACTTTTTATAAATATCTATAAACGTCCGCTACTGGTTTAGCAGAGACCAAGTATTCTTATTATTTTCATATGCCGTCTTCCCGTGTTACACACTCAGCAGATTGATAGGTTACACGCTATCAGGTTACTCAACTGGTTACTATGGTACCCAGGTTAATTAACCGGTTACTATGGTACCCAGGTTAATTAACCGGTTACTATGGTACCCAGGTTAATTAACCGGTTACTACGGTACACTGATACTTGGTTTTTGACCCAGTTACTACGGTACCCAGTGTGGTTACTGTAGTACCCACGTTAACTTCCCGGTTGCTATGGTACCTGCGCACCAACCTGCTTATCATGGCGCTAATGTAATTGACCCTCTTTTACTAGAGGTTATTCACAGGTGTAATCTATGCAATTGCATGATTTTCGGTGTGACATAAAAATAAGTGTCATATATTTTTAAACTTTAGGAATTTTGATCGTGTACTATTGGCGTAAATAAACTGGTACAGTCCGGGTTATTTAACAATCAGATTTAATCAATTGTTTATTACGAAAAAAAACGGTATTTTATTTCTTCAAACTGAAATGTAACAGATTTTTCCCTGCTCCCGCACATGCGAGATTGAAGCAAGAAGTGAATGGGCGCGTAAATGGTAAGGTTTGGAGGGTATTGCATTGCGCGACAGCGACTTAAGGCCAGGCAGGGGCGGCGCTCAGTTGCTACACGTTGTATACCTCTCTCGTGGCCGGAGGCTGCCGCGCGCGAAATGAAAGGGGTTGCAACGTGTGTTGTCTTATCAAGGCGCTCAGTCCACCATAGCTTCATTTGATTCATGAACACTTTGCATGTAGCGCGATGCGTTACCCTGCCGCGCCGAGCTGCGATGGTCAGATTGACATCGTCAATTAATGAACACTGAACTTTGAAGCCTCAGGTACGGGATAACAGCAGATAGGTATTATTATATGTATTAATTCAAATGTTAATATAAAAAAAGGTGTACGAAACTCAAAAATCAAATGGTGCAGGTTATATTTTATATCTCCGAGCGTGCTAAATCACTTAACATGACTTGTAGGTTTATAACTTACCAGGGTCTAGGACTTGACGGATGTTATACTCGTTTAAGTTTCTTCGAAGTAGCGCGCGCCGCTTTCTTCTCGAAAAGTAGCGCGCGCCGGGCCAGATCATTAACAATGGTCATTCTAGGACGCGCGCCGAGTTGGATTCGTCGACTGTTTTGTAGGTTTACAACCTACCAGGACGCGCGCCGAGTTGGACTCGTCGACAATATATGGAACAGATATTTTACGAGTATCACCCGTTAACGACTGTTTGGAACAAATGTTGTACGAGTATCACCCGTTAATACATGACAGTCGATTTTCGAAATTTTTCTAAAAGGGCCCCCGACAGTTGTTACTGGGCCGCGCTCAGCCTGTCATTCCGCCAAATCTTTATGTTAATGAACATAATAGCCTGGGGTCCTCAGGTAAGACAGTTGAAATCAACTTTAATCGATGTATTTTTGGACGCTGATTCCGAATTACCCTCCATGACATAGTATAAGTGATAAGTTTAATTTAATGCTCCCCTGGCCCTGGCGAGATATTCAATATTTGCAAAAAAACTCAAAACTGTCTCGATCACGTGATATTAAGGTTGTAGCGCGATGCGTTACTGTGCCGCGCCGCGCACTCAATGAGGCTTCTCACAGCTTCTCTGGCTAGATCGGCGAGATGCGCTACTGTGCCGCGCCGAGCTGCCATGAATTGACATCGTCAATTAATATTAAGGGTGCACGATAAAAAATAAACTTGCTCGGATTTTCAAAATTTTTGTACCATTGTTTTCTACAGACTGTGAGAATTTTCACAGTACCAAATTTGGCATACCTTTTTGAAATGATCAGTGAGTTTCGCCTAATCGCCTTGGTGCCATATTTTATGGTGCGCGGCTTTTGGAGCAAAAGTAGGTGTAAAAGTCGCGTAATTTGACGAAATTCGTTGACTTTTGTCGTATTATTCTGTCATATGTCCGGTTCCTTGAATGAGATCATTCTGAAAATTGGTGAAGACCTTCCAATAGGGATTTCACAACTGTCCGAAAAATTTGGTGGATATCGGAGTTCTAGTTGATATATAATAGTAATGAAAATGGGGCAAAATACGCTACTTTTAGCTGTTACATAATTTTTGATGGTTGGATATGCTTTGTGCTTTAAATTTTTCGGACACTTTCCTTGTAAGTCTATGAGTAAGCTTACCAATTTTTGTTAAAATTAGATCAAGGGAAGATTGAGATAACTCGTAAAATATTTGTTTCAATTTTTCAAATATTACCGTCGACGAGTCCAGAGTCCTATTCGGCGCGCGTGCTGGTAGGTTATAAACATACAAGATCTTCTATAAAATTAAACTAATTCAAAATGTATATTCAGTTAACGCAAATAGTCATCAATTCCAAACTCAATGATGTGTACTGTATTGTCAAAACAAAACGCGTCTTCATGAAATCTAAAAACTCCATAAAAACTTGTAGGTTTATAATTTACCAAAACGCGCCCCGAGTTGGACTCGTCGCGACAAATATTTTACGAGTAGAGTTTAAAGTATCACCCTTAACATTTGATTCACGATGTCAATCCTTCGCAGCTCGGTGAGGCACGTACAGTGGTGCATTTCGCCGATCTACCGATGCGAGAAGCATTATTTGATGCGCGCGCGACCCAGTAGTGCATCGCGCTACAACCTTAACATGAAAACTAAAAACACTGAATAACAAAGACGGTGATCAGACAATTAATAAAACAAATGAATCATTTTGAACATCGTTCATTTATATGAGTATATGATTATGAATGTAAAATAATTTATGAGGTGACAAATGGTAATTGGTATCAAGTATTGTTTACGATCGTTTTTGGAGGACTTCGCCGCGCCGCGCAAACTAGCATTCTTTCTTTTACGAGATTGTAGCGAGTTGTAGCGCTATGCACTACTGGGCCGCGCCGCGCATCTTCTCGCAACCACATATGCAGATCGATGCTAGATTGTAGATGCGAAGGATTGACATCGTGAATCAAGTAGCGAGATGCGATTCGGAATCAGCGTCCAAAAATACACCGAATTAGGGTCGTTCACATATTACGTAATCAGCCGAGGGGGAGGGGGGTTCTAAATGGTTACGCTAGTGTAATTTTGATACAATTACAATAGCTATGTGTAAAAGTAAAACTGATTGCGTACGCGTAATATGTGAACGACCCCTTATTAGATTACTTGGTGGAGATATAACTTGCGCCAACTCAGATAGTATCTGGTATCTAAATCGGCTCATATTGTTACGCTCGTCTTAAAATTATCACGTGACTTTGGTTTTGTAGTGTGTAGGGGGTGCACGATAAAAATAAACTTGCTCGGATTTAAAATTTTTTGTACCACTTGCACTGTTTTTTAGAGACTGTGAGAATTTTCACAATACCATTACCAAATTTGTCATACCTTTTTGGAAAGATCTTTTAGCTGTAACATAATGTTTGATGGTTGGATATGCTTTAAATTTGTCGGACACTTTCCTTGTAAGTCTACGTGCTACGAGTAAGCGTACCAATTTTTGTTGCAATCGGAGGTCGGGAAGATTACTCAATATCTATTTGTTTGAAGAAAATTGTGCTGGCCGAAATTAGCGCTAAAAAACCATCCTACAGTCGGCACGCGCGGCTCACTGTCGATGGCGCACTACCTAGGTTTTGCACTTTGCAGTTAGTAGAGGCTCTTACGGGCATTGTCTGCTCGATACATTAGGGACCCCAGATACACCTTACTAGACGTATTTTTGACCGTAGAATCGATTGAAAGTGGTTTCAAGATGATTGGACTGATTGTTCTGGGGTAAAATCGCAAAAAACCGATTTTTGGGCCAAAAATAGGCCAAAAAACCATGTTTTTTTGATATTTTGAGCAAGTTAATTTTGTTGGCATGTCGGCAAAACTTGCATAAAGATAGCTAAAAGACAGCCGCACAAGATTGTATAAAAATAAAACAAATCCCTCTATTTGTTCTGAGGTAAAAATCCAAAAAAGTGGTAAAAATTTTGACTTTTTTGCTTGAAGTTTGAATAATTTTTTGCAGTTGTATTAAATCAACCCAAAAATAGTCACATCGTGTTTGCCTAAATTTTTCCTTTCCGAGAAGTACCCACTTCATATACTTTATCGAAGTTTGAATATTGTCACTCCGCAAGCGTTTTTGCCAAATTTTCGACGCGCACTACGCGCAAAAGCATTTAGTTGTTATCAATTGGCACCCGCGCGTTCATCATAAATTTCAAACAGCTATAACTCAGCGAGATTATGTCCGTTCTAGCTCATATTTTCACACTAAATAGAAAATAATGTGATCTTATTGCTGACAAAATATGAATATAATTACTTTATTTGCCTTAGAGTAATAGACTGTCAAAGTTTAAAACGCGCATTGGTATAGCACGTGACTAATAAGGCCAAATTTATACTTCTTAACATATTATCGATCCTTAGACATCATACTATTGTGTCCAATTAGCGGTTAGGTCTCTAAACTCGTAGCAGAAAACACGTCTTTTTGCCCGTAAGAGCCTCTACTAGTAGAACAAAACGGTTTTTACAGAAACCGTACTCGATCCTGACCATAACCCACTTTGCAACTTAACTGAAAAATTTTCTTTTCTTCGATGAGACTCTCAAGTCTCAACCTAAACTTATTGATTAAAATTGTTTCTGGCCCTCGCGATAATCACAAGATCAGAGACACATAAAATGTCACACAAAAATGAATAGTGAAGACGTTTTAGTTTCAGAAAATTTAAAAAGGGATTTAGTGGTTCAAGAAGCTGAAAAACAAATATATAATATGATACAGATAACAAACTATTTACAGTAGATGTCAGGCCATAACTTAACATCGAGCCTTCACCCTTCAACGGTAAAAATATTAATCAGATAATTAACTAATCAGATAATTAACTATTAAGCCGAGTTGTCCTCGTCAATACGACTTACAACTGTCACTTTCAAAGCGAGTCCAGTTGACTAACTAACACACAAATTAATCTGGAACAGAAAATTCAAAATTGACGTAGGGCATTTTCACCAGCTTAAAACAGGCCTGTTCGACAAGAATCTGAGTTACAAGCTCTAAAAGCTTAAAAGGAGGTCTTGAGGTCGCTGAAGTGATCTTCGGAATTCATGTCACGTGTCATGGCAGTTTTATCGTTTACTTTAGCTGTTATAACAACGTGCTGTAGCTGAGGAAAATGGTCTCATCAAAATATGGATAATATAGATGTGGTGAAAATTAATTGTTTTGACACGTGATCAAAAGCTGGCACTCAGCCATATATGGGCATTAAATCAGGTTACCAAGCCAGACCCTTTCCCATTTGATTTTTCTCAGTATATAGACTGTTGAAGAGTTTAATATCACTTCATTGTTAAAAATGATTCACTTTCAGTAAAGCACTGATAAGAGTATCATTAATTATTAAAGAGAATCAAGTAGTATAAAGTAAATCATATCTGTATATTCAACTATATTTCAGAGAGTAATCGTCAATTAGTTAGTCACTTAGTTAGTCACTTAATTAGTCACTTAATTAGTCACTTACCACCCCTATGCGAAGTTCCATCTGGATAAGCTCGTTCTTGACTTTAGTGATAGCTTGTTTAATCTTGACCAGCGGTCCGGAGTCAGTCATAGTTGTTCCTTTTTCGTCCATCTGAGCTTTTATACCTTCCAACTCTTCAGTGATCTGACAGGAGAAGTGCAGGCTTCAAACACAGTGCGATCCCAAATAGCTGACATGTGACTCAACTATCAGTAGCTTTAATGCGATTGGATGAAAACAGAGATGATGTAATTGAAATATCTTAGCTTGTTATCGGACAAAACCGTTACAAATACAAGTGTTTGATTTAATTTGTCAACTATATAGCATCCAAGTTAAGTTCCAGGATGATTTGCACGACACCGAGAAAGAATCTTTCTAAAAGAACAGATATTATGGTAAACATATTCTAAATTAGATAATGACAACTTTAATAGTTTTATTAACGATTTAAGTAAGTGATATAATCATGATAATAATGAACCTGAGCGAGGGTCCGAGACTGATCCGTTACGGTAGATCCGGCACTGCGATATTTCTCTTCTATTTCTGCTAATCTGAAAGATACAAATCGCATCAGTCATCAGTTATTGGGATGTCGGATGCTCCATTTATTGAATACATCTTGGTTCTTAAATCTTAACACCCTGATTAAAACTGGCCCGGTAAATATTTATCAGGAGCAACCATTTTTTGAATGCACGAATGAAAGCCCCCCGTAAGGGGATTATCTCTAATGGACTAATTCATTGTTTACATCATAATCAGTTAAAATAAAAACCCAATGGGCACTCCTGAAAACATAACTACAAGAAAAATATATCAAAACTAAATAGAAAAGTGAGGTCAAATGTAATAAATCGTAACAAACTGCATTTAATGGCATTAAACTTTTGAATTTGTAATTTAATGGCAAAGCAAATTATAGAAAATGTAATAAAATTCAAGCAAAATTTTTGTTCATGAAACCCACAGAATACAATATCTCAGTAACTTCCTTAACATTATCAAGGACTATACTTATAAAATTATTTACCGATCCTTTAGTCGTCTGTACTCGGCTATTGGTCCCTCCATCTGACTGTTTATATACTTCTCCCTGCTTGTTATCTTTTCTAAAGTCCGTGTTATCTCCTGATGCATCTGGTCCAGATGTGTCTGTAAAAGATAAGGTGTTAAAAGATAATTTGTTAAAAGACCTCACAATTCGTTGTATGACGTTCCCGTTCATCACATGGTAATGACTCATCAAAACGATTTTGTTGGTGAACCGGAAAATAACAAATTTAGCACTACTGATGATTTTTCCACAGAAGAGTCCCAAATCTAAAATAATGAATCTAAAACAATAACAATATAATATGAAAATTATTTTATAAAATTTAATAAAATGAGCGGGTTGAACCTTGCTGGCGGTTAGAGATGTGCTCATGTTCTTCCTGTTCTCCAACATCTGATCTAAATGTGTTCTCCAGTCCTGCGAGGCTGAGTCCTAAAGGTTCTACTTTAAAACACGGCAATTAATTAATTCATTAATTAACTAATTATCCAAATATCTAACTAACTAATTGTTGTCCAAAATCTGATCTGAATGTGTTCTCCAGTCCTCCGAGGCTGAGTCCTAAAGGTTTTGCTTGAAAACATGGTAATGAATTAACTTATTAATTAACCAATAAACAGGCCTTATTTCATTAATCTGTTCATTTCAATCAGATGGAAACTCAATAATACACAAAATTATGAGCCCAAAAACAAAATTAATAGCTTCACTACATAAATCTGAATCTATCAGAAATTGTATATAAAACAAGAAATCAGTAAACTTCAACAAATCAGGTATCTCATTTCCTTGACACGTTTCTCCTCCAATACCTTAAAATCATCCAAGTAAACGGGCCTGATATTGCAATAAACCTTCACAGCCCTAACTAATCCCACCACTACATACGAAAACATGACTACAACGAAGAAAGAAACAATTTGTCGTGTAAAGTCGGGACAACAAGCCACGTTTCCACGGGAGTTCCTGCAACAGCCAGCCGCGCAGCACATGACCGTCACGTTGCCGTGGAGATCCTTACAGCACGTCTCCTCGCGCTGACAGCACCTGCCGCCGCAGCAGTCCTCGTCCTCGTTACAGCAGTAAGTTTTCAGGCTCCACGGAATACCCTCTATATCAACAGCAGTCTCGTCAGGTGAACGTCTCATGGGACGATGGTTGTCGGTCAGGGTGAAGTTTCTCTCTTTTTTGTGGTGAAAGCTGTGTGGGTTGTCGTGAGCTTGTGGCGTTGCCCAGTGAGCACAGCAAATCAGTTGGTTTGGAGTTTTGGTTTGAGTTTTGTTGTTGAAGGGACATGCTGTATGCACGTCAACTCCTCTCCGTTTTAGATCAATGAAGTCTCGACAGAATTCTTGGGATGGTTGGCTAAAGGAGAAGGATGCTAACAAAACCATGATTTGGAAGACGCAAGCCACCCTCCTTGTATTGCTCATGTCTTAAATTAATTAGTGCTGCTAATTACTTGTTTACTCCAGCTTAATGTCGGTAGACATTTTTATTGTTTATTCTTTACAGCACTTTACAGCACAAATAGTTGAGTAAACTCTTGTAACGCAGGCAAGTTTAAAACAAGGAGAAAAAAGCAATAAAACACCGTATGCGTTTCTTCACAATTGGAAAAACATAAATAAAGCCTTACAAATCGTTTCCGTTGCATGTTTTTATGCGCTAGAAAGTAAGTCAATGATTTTTGGAGTATTACGGATAAAGTGTTATTTTTACCAATACCTAAAAACAGAGTGGCGCGTGTTATAATAGACCAGAGGGTCTACAACAATCAATAAATATTATTTTAAGGATACTATGGAATAGCTTTCTCGTGTGATCTGACAGCAGTAGTATTAGTTAGATTCTTTAAATTTAAATCTTTGAATCTGTGAACCGAAACGGGGAATGCAAATCCATTATAATTGACGACCACTATGGTCCTCCTCATGACGGCCAGAACCTGGCCGTTCTATTGGGTGATAAAGTGAACACTAATTAGTAATTAAGCTGTTAGGTATTACAGATTCTACAGACCTTATCACTACGGAGGTGCACTTTAAGGGATGGCATAACTCTCTCCACCTCCATTTTCCACTCTAAGGCGTCTGTACTCGATTCTAACAGGTCCTCCTGCTTCTGGACCTAGCATTTAAATCAATTATTCATTGTGACTCAATTGATTCTAGATTGGTCAACATGGGGAAATCTGTAACAGGTAACTGTTTGTAATACTGGTGTGAAATAACGGTGGAAACAGAAGATAATGATGGTACCTCGATTGCGTCTTGTGATGAAGTATTTACTTCCCCGATATCGAGCATTATTTCATCTTCATAATCCTCATCTATGTTTTCATCTGGGAATATTTCACTTTTGTGAACAAACTATTAGCAAGCACAGAGCTTGAAGGGTAACTGTAATCGATAATCAGAGTACTCTTGACACTTGGCCCTGCCAAAAACACGTTTATTTGTGGTATAGCCCCAGTACCTTCTATTTGTTCGTCCATAGGGTCGTCCTCTATCGATTCTTCGTTTGCTTCCTCCTCAGTGTATTCAGGCCTGACACAATAACAATTTGATTCAATTCTTGTTCACTGAATATTTATCTTGAAAGCAATTTTGGACGATGCAAAAGTATTAGCATCATCGGACATCGTATCGACTATTGTCATAAGAAACAAGAATGACGATTTTCTTCTTTTTGTTTACGAACTAAACGTGCGCGCAGCAATTTTCTACCATACTAGCTGCTGACAAAGTTTATTTTAATCAATAAAATATTTGTCGGTTTTCGCGCGTAATAGCTTTTTAACGTACGATTTACAAACTAAAAGATGGGATTCGTGAGATTGCACGGATATGATAAGATAAACAGAAGAAGAATCCGTATATAAGGAATCATATAACAGATGAAATTGAAGTTGGAAGAAGTGGTAATTACCTTTCCCAAGAGAACTGCCTCATCTCCAGTGCTTTGCTTGCCAGCTGATTCAAGATGTAGCAAACCTATCAGGGGATATTTTATTTATGAAAATTCATTATTTATAATCATGTGAATTGAGATTTGAGTAAGTCAATGTGAACCTCACAATAATCAATAAAACAGCCAAAATATCCAAGCTGAATACCTCGTCGCCACACCCGGCTTTTAATCTAGAGGGAGGAAAGTCGGTGTTTAGGCCCAGCGATTTTACTTCAGACATGATACTTGATACCACTGCATTAGGGTCGTCATCCTGGAAAAGTGGAGAGGTAATTCAAATCAGATTGTAATATTTTCCAAATATTTGGGGTGACCATTTTATCGTGTTTTAGCTAATGTAATATGTTACAGATTTGAGATTGAACAGGTTGGATCATATCAAATTAATATTACTGATCAAAAAATATTGTAAAAATTGGCACAATCAAAATTTTTCCAATATATTTAGCATATTGTATTGACAGTTCGTGGCTAGAGTTGAAAGCCAGGTAAACCAAGCTCCTCTTTCAGGAGTTACAAAATATATAGGAGCCATGCCAGTGTCATATTCAAGCTTTAAATTTAGAATCAAAACAAGTCCTTCATATTATGGAGCCAGGGTGTGAACTGGCTATATATCGTTAAAGTATTTCCATCCCATTACATAATAATACTTGTATATTATAGTAGTGTTGAAAGTATATATAAAGTAGTGTTGAAAGTATGAAAATCATATTTTAGCTTATAAATTACTAATACTAACTTCAAGGGGGGCTTCGAATCTTTTACCGTTTAATTCCAATAACCAAGACAGTAAGTTGCTGAAAACAAAGAACTGTTCTCCAGCACTACCTGGAACAGCAAAGTAGGTCCTGAAACAGCCAGCCATCAGAAGTAAAGGGTTAATTGATGATAATCTAAATATACTTGACTAGAATGGACAATTTCATTTTCATAAGAAATAATCCCCGAAAAAAGTAATAATAAATTGTCACAGATGGCCAGTATTCCCCAGTATTATAAAGATAAGCCTGTATTGATAAATTTAAACCCCCTCTAGCTATTATCATTGTAATGATACGAATTATGTGGCTGATAAAATGAGCCATATTCACAACGAGATTTACCGAATGATAACAAAATGTTAAATGGAAGGACAGAATTATATTATCTATTAATCACTGCTTGATTCATCTGACGATGATTTTAGTTCTATCCGTCTCCATTTTTATTCTTGGAGTAACTCCGGTGTAATAGGTTTGCTGGCGGTTTACAATCTTATAAATATTATATTTTGATGATAGTTGGTGACGAAGTGAGAGTCCCCAAATATTAATATTAAAAATTATTAATATTACTTATTAAGACGGTGTACACAAACGTTTGTTGATCTTAAACTTTCTTTTTGGGTTCACTGCAAACATTTCCAATCTTGATACAATGCCAGTGAGGCGGCATTTCTATCAATTTTGTCCATTAACAAAACTGTATAGATTGAAAACCACTATTGTTTCTAGTTGCCCTTGTTTGATAATTGCAGATCTGGGGATTCATGAGGAATTGAGGGACAGCAGTCTTGTACATGAATATAAGAGTTCAAAACTTTAACGTTTCACCCCAGTTAATTGACTACAATCTAACAAATTGCTGAGATACCAGCAGTTGACAACTTTACACTGCCTAGACCACATGAGATTAAGGGAGAGGGTTTGTTTTTTAATGGATCTTTTGTTATATCCTAGTAGCAGAGTGTAGTTGGGTGTGCACTTCGAAGAACAATAGATTTTCAGGATAGACCGTACCCTTTTGAATTCTAATCCTTCAGTTGATATTTCTTCTAATCAACCAGGTTTTAACATTTTTGTTAGGCGTACAAAATTCTTGGTTCTTTGATATCGGAGCTGCTCCAATCTCTCATGGTGATTTAAGCTAGATGTTGATTAATGAAGTAATTACTTCGTGACTAATGTATAAATTGGTTTAAAGATTCTGGCAAAAATGGAGCTCAGCGTATTATATCCGCTTTTAACTCGTAAAAGCTGCAATGCTATAATTAGAAATTAACACATTAAAGTTTAAACACTAAACGCTTCTTATTAAAGCTATTTTCTAATTTATATTGAGGTTGAGAATTAAGAAAATTCTCGCTCCTAAGAGCAAGGGAAAGTAGTTACATCTAAAATTTGTACTTTTTGAGTTATAGGCATTTTAAGCCTTAAATCTGCCATTTTTGGCCCTTTTTTACGATGAATTTTACTAAGTTGTTTGAGGCCAGATTTCATAGCTTAAAACTCAAATCTGAGAGAAATCCTACACCAAAAATTTTGATATGATCATTAGCTACACTCACAAGACATTTTGAAGCGATATCTGCTGACCCGGGTGATAGGTGATTTTTCATTTTTCGACCTTGTTCAGTCTGTAACTTCGTCATTTATTGTTCAATTATATAATCCTTCTAGGGGTTTCTTGTACGAATTGTAAGTAATGTCCAGTAAAAAAATCAGCCAAAAGACTTTGAAAATGACCAAAATATCGGTATTACAGTGCCAGACTTCTCAAAATTTCCAAAACTTTCGAAAAAGAAAATAATTATTTATTCGAAAGTGAGTGCTCTCAAAAATAATTTTTAATCTATAAATCTTATTGTTTTGATGTATACTTTCTTAATATGAAGTTAACTACCGGGTCCCGGCATAAAAGGTTTTTGTGTCCCCATAAAGCTAGAATGATACTACATACTAAAAAACTGTTGCTCAGCTATATTGAGGAAGGAGTGTTGAGACTCTATTGATACTTCATACTTTAGCTAAGAACTTTAGTGGTATAAACCAGCACTATCTGCGATTAATGAAATTTCAGCTATTGGGGATTATATGATGTTCACTGTTCATTGTTACAGCCACCGTTCCGATTTAATATTTAGCGACTTCCACCAGTAGCATTATTCCAACATCTTTCCACTCTTTTGCTCTTTTTTATTGATACTATTTCGTTGAAAATTTCATCAATATTGCTGTTAAATATTATATGTAGTATGCATAACTTATAACCTTTATCTTAATTCCAAACTAATGTTGTTTTAAAAATCTGCTCCTGAATTCAAGAAAATCTCGACGAGGTTTTGCCAAATGCTTTAATAGTCAGTGACATCTGCAATCGTACTTAAGGGGGCCGGGGGGGGGGGGGGGGTCTTCATCGAAATTATCTCGAAATTGATTTTATAGTTGTTTCTGATAGAGGGGAGTTACGGTATATCTATCCGCTGCTTTTGGTCCAATGGAAATATATTATTCTTCTCCTACGTTTTTGAGCAATCACCCTGAAACTTTCAGGATATGTTCTAGGGATCATTTAGAAGAGATATATTGAGCCGAATTTTGAGATAGGCCTTATTTTAGAACATTTTTTATTCGATTTTGAAAATCTTGGATCTAATTTTTTGACGATTTTTCCAGGTCCAAGATTTTCAAAATCAAATAAAAAAGTTTCTAAAGCCTATCTCAAAATTCGGCTCATCATATCTCTTCTATAGATTTTTAGACTCGATTTTCAGGGCACACGTTTGAAAATCGCTCGCGCAATACAATTACACATAAACGCTGACCTTTGACCAGCGATAATTTCGGCTAGGAACAATATTTTTTCATGGGACCAAAAGCAGCTGATAGATATTACTCCCCTCTATCAGAAACAACTATAAAATCAATTTCAAGAGAATTTCGATGAAGACCCCCCCTCCCGGCCCCCTTAATCATGACTGTACATCACCCAAGTCCCGATTTAATGTTCCAGTATACTAAATATTCCAGTAAAATAATAAATGATAAATTTAATTCAGGAATGGTCCTCGAGGACGAATCCGAAATAACGCCCTGTCCAAAAACTACAAGATGGACCAAACGAGACTACAGTCTCCTTGTATTAGCGATGATGGTCAAGTTTGGGGATGCAGTGGAAATGTATTTGCCTGGAGTGATCACACAAAAAGTAGCCTGTGAGCTGGATGTCTCATTTTTCCAGGAGGGGACTCTTTCTATCACCTTCTATGTCTTTATGGGTGTAGCTACACTAGCTGCTGTACCGTTGGCGAATAAAATTGGAGATAAAACCACTTTGCTCTGTTCACTGTATGGCTCCATATTTTTTACCATATTCTGCGCATTGGTCCCAAATTATTATACTTTTCTACTTTCTAGAGCTCTCATAGGGCTGGGCTGTGGGTTGAACTTGACAATAATTGGAGTCTTTGGTGCTAAAAATATATCTTCCAAGGAGAATCTACCAACATTTTCTTTCATCCAAGGTAGCATAGCATTTACTTTCGGATGCGCATGGGCTCCGCTGCTGGGTTGGCTGCTTCTTGATACACTAGGCTGGCGGGTGTTTGTCCTCTTAACATCCATTCCTTTGTTCATCCCACCAATAATCATGCTACATTTTTTCGACGAAGAAGATGAAACTACTGGAAGTGAATCAACGAGCCTACTCAAGAATCAAAATGAATCTGTCGAAAACTTTCCTGTGAGAGTTCTAAAGGCGAGCATTTTCGGGGGCTTTAGACACTTCATAGGATATGGAAGTATCATGCTTCTTCCAATGATCATCAGAAATTACAATTTATCCGATAAATCTGTAGGTGCCGATAAATGTGAGGAAGTTGTACATGGAGATCAATATATGATCCTTGCTGCGGTAAATGGCCTTGCTAATATCCTGGGACGGCCGATTGGATTTTTTCTTAGACCACACTTCAAGTTTATGCCTCTCCAAACCACATTTATGCTTGGTTTTGCCATATCTTACGGGATCATCCTAGCAAGACCTGGTTTACTTTTTGAATCTATAATGATGGGAATAGGGAAATTATGCTATTCTATGGGAGGAGCAGAGCAAAGCATCCTGCATTACGATGTAGACTATTTTGGACTCTCAGGATTGTCTTTGGGTGGTTCCCTGATGTTTTTGGGCTGCACAGTGGGTACTGTAATAAGTACCACTCTCGCTGTTTTCATTGATCCTTATCATGCTGTTATGGTAGGTTTAATTGTTAGTCTTGCACAGGTCGCTGTCATCTATTCATTCCATGAACGGAAGTGATTGAAGGCTTGATAACAGACTTTGAAGGGACTATCTTCAAAACGTGATAACATAACAGTTTTGGTTATTTCAAGAATATTCAGGTAGTATTTGTCCTCATGTGATTGCATAATCCTTAACATTTGTTATATCCGATTGAATTCTTAAGAAATCTGGTAACACTGTCCTAATTCTGGATAACTTTTTGTCCAAACTTGGTAAATGGGTTTTGAACTTTTTCGAGCTTTCTTATAAGGAATTCAGGGGATCATGTGAATTGTGAATCTTGTGATTATGTGGTATTATAATTTATAGAATTGATTTATTCTGTTTGAGTGGATTTAATATTTCTACGTCATACTCATGAGTATGAATATTCTCAATAAATGTATTTAATTGTAGTTATGAAAATAGTAGTTGTACGAGGCTAATACAGAAGCCACACAAAGCTAACAGCTTTCCTGAACATAAAATTAGATTGCCGGACTTCAATTTTCCGTGAGGGCAGATACTGTTTAACTCACCCTTAGCACATTTCTGCATCAGCTGTAACCGTTTATAGTATTACCTTGTCTTTGAGTATTTGCCATACGTTTCAAGGAAAAGAAGAAAATCGCGATAATTTAGGAAGAATATTTAATCTATTTTGCTCTGTAGCAAGTTTAACTGGACAAGGACAAAAGGAAATCGCGATTATTTTGACCAGAAATCGCGGCGCCGCGATTCATGGTCGCGGTCCACGGTTCATGCTACCCTGATCGCATTATGAGCCTAAATGTTTTTGGTTTTCTGG